TAAACTAGTTATATCTAAACTAGTTATAAAACTAATGAGTTTCAGAGTAACGGAAAAGACGAAGAACTAAGTAAGAAAATAGAACTATTAATCATAATTTTATTTTTTTTAATGCTAGATCTTCAGGCTTTATTTAAGCATGCTTAGGTTCTAGAGGAAGATTAACTTCTTAAGGAAGATCTAGAGGCCCTTTATCCCCTTAATTAGTATTAAGATGGTAAGAATTTTTCTTCAAAACTAGTTTAAATACTAACTAGTTTAGATAGTTAACTAGTTTATAGTCATCCCATTCATCCCAGCAGTAAGAAAACTTAATCTCTAGAACTAGTTTTTCTACTAATTTATTCTAGATTATTAAGTCTTTAGTAGATTACTACCTCTAATCTTCATACCTAAAATCAGAATAGTTATACTAAGTCACGCCAAATCAATCTCCAAATACTTAAAGCAGAGATAAGAAAGGCTGAGATTAAGAAATAGAAATTAGAGCTAGAGTTAGAATTAGCTAGACTTAGGCAAACACAGATGTGATATATTGTTTTTACCTAAACTAGTTATGTATAGAACTAGTTCTATGTATAACTAGTTTAGGTAAAAACTCTTGGCATATCACCAGTGTTGAATATATATATTACTAACTGCTAACTTAGTCTTRTCTAGAAAAGAAGGTAGAACTATATCCATTTAAACTAGTTCTATAGAATCCTAGCTATTTGTAAAATTTTGAAAATAAACTTTCTTTAACTAGTTTAGAACTTGCATAACTAGTTATATTCATAGAAAATCACTAATTTATGTAGCCTCTATCTTAGACTCCTGGCCTGATGGTTCCTCTTTATTAAACTCCCTGAATACCTTATATACATCCCTATGAGTTCCCTTGTAACATTCTAGAACTAGTTAGAGATATAAACTAGTTCTATTAGAAACTAGTTTACTTACCTTTTAACTTTTTATCTGCCTTACAGCAGTCATAAGGCACCTGTATATTATGATCTTTTATAACAGTGCACATCGCAGTCATGTTAACCTAAACTAGTTTAGTAAAAGCTAGTATTATATAAGAACTAGTACTCACAGTCCTATTATACTTTAATAGAATAACTGGGCAGACCTTTAGTTTCGCAGCTTCGCGGGCATTATAGGCGGCAACTAGTTGAGTATACCAGGCTAAACTAGTTAGTAATGCTAACTAGTTCTTCAAAGAACTAGTTCTTACTAATAGTAGCATCCTTATTAGCTTTCTTTAGGTGCTCTCCAGCATTTTCCTCAAACTTAGCGCCATATTTTGCGACAAAGTGTTTCTTTAAGTTGTTCAGGTTCATGTATTTGGTCTAAACTAGTTAGCAGGAAGAATGTAAATATAGTAGAACTAGTTCATAACTTATATTGACTTTACAACTGCTAAAGCGGTAATATACTTCACCAACATAGAGATTGACATGGCCAGAGGTCTAAACTAGTTAGTAGGGATAACTAGTTCTATCTAGAACTAGTTCCACACTGTGAGAAAATCTCACTTCAGCCAGCTAGGAACTAGTTCTGCCATATATTTTCCACTCACTTCAACAACTGCGTCAGGAAGTTTGAGGTCAGGTTTTGGGATCTTAAGGTATCGCTGGTATGCTTCCTAATATGCAAATTAATACTGATTAACTAGTTCTGGAGGAGAAAACTGACATTACCATGGACATAAGTCATGGTGGAGGTGTGGTAGAAGTAAGATGTAGTATTGTGTCGGTAAGGTAATGTACTGAGCTCACCCAACCGGCGGTGGGGTGAGATCACATGATCGCGGATAATCGGCGCCGGTGGTCCGAGATTCCGGGGGGGTGGTGGCCTGACCTGCGTTCTGGCTCAACTTCTTCCCAGGTTACAGGTGACACGACCCTTCGGAGGAGTTCGGGTAACCTAAAGTGGGTCAGTCCACTCTCAGCCACATTCACCTGAACTCTTCCAAAAGGTTGTGTCACCTGTAGTCACACTTAGTAAAGGTAGGTCGGCCGACCTGTAGTCACTACTTCAACACACATTGGACCTCAGCGTGTGTCGGTCACGTTCTGTCATAGATTACCTCTCTACCACCACCACTACTATACTAATCTTCAACCCTCTTCGACCGCGAATACCAAACCACCAAGGTGAAGGTTCGATTTTGAATAGCATCAATTCAAATAATATACCTGCCATGACCACCCCCTAATATCTATAAAACTGTGCTTATTATATACATGATGTTAATAGAATATTAGTAAATTCTAAGTTATTTTAATGTTATGCATATGCAGAGGGTAAGTAAAGGGAAGAGAATATAGGTAGGTAAGGTTAATATAAATATATAGATTCACTCTACCATAGTAAGTATACTACAGAGTACATACATACTATAATAAAATACTACATAAAGAAATTAATTAAAATAAATTAGATTTTACTAATCTTCCTTAATATTACGCATATAATGAGCATAAATTTATAGATATTAGGGGCTGGTCATGGCAGGTATATGATTTGAATTGATGCTTTTAAAATCGAACCTCTACCTTGGTGGTTGGTGTTCGCCGTCGGAGAGGGTTGAAAATTAGTATAGTAGTGGTGGTGGTAGAGAGGTAATCTATAACAGAATGTGACCGACACACGCTGAGGTTTCGTGACTACAGGTCAACCGACCATTAGGAAAAGTTCAGGTAATTAAACTACAGGATACAGGTCAGCCGACCTTTACTAAGGAGTTCGGCTAACCAAAGTGGGTCAGTCGACCCACACAACAGTGTAAGAGATGATAAATAAATAAGAGAATTGATTACTGTTTGATCATTCTCAAGACAATGAAAGTTATCTAAGGATGACATTGTGAACTAGTTCAGAACTAGTTAAAGCTGTAAGATATAGTGAAAATTATTAAAGGACATGAAATTAGATTTAGATGTAAAAGGTCGGATGAGCTTTATATTTGTGTGGGTCGGCTGACCCACTTTGGTTAGCCGAACTCCTTAGTAAAGGTCGGCTGACCTGTAGTCACATTAAACTAAGATCAGAACACCAAAAATCACGTGACCAGGAATGTTTATAAAGGTCAGGTAAGCTTAATACAATACTATACTGTTTTTTAATACTGTCTACCTTTAGGGGGGGTTTTCAATCAGAACAAGTTACTACCTAGTTCTATCTTTAAGACTATAATTATTTTTTTTTTCTAACTAGTTTAGAACTAATTAAGAATCTTATCTACTTTATATCTTTATCTATTTTAACTAGTTTAGAACCAGGTAGAAAGATAGGTAAAAGGTCAAAAAATATTACAGAATGTGTATTTATCTATTATCTGGTGTAGGTTGGCTGACCCGCTTAATAGTTTATCTCACCTACTTTTAGTTTATCTGAGCTTTTCCAAGGGTTGGCTGACATGTATCCTGTCTATTATCGTGGGTTGGCTGACCTACTTTTGGTTTATCTGAACGTTTCCAAAGGGTTGACTGACCCACTTATTAGTTTATCTGACCTAGTTTTAGTTTGTCTGAGCTTTTCCAAAGGGTTGGCTGACCTGTATCCTGAGGCGGGGAACTACAAAAAGGTAACTTGGGCTAACGCAGTTGACTAACTTAATGTCCTGGCGGGCAGGATGACTCAGATTCGATAGCCTGTACGAACCGCCTTCACAATTTGGTACATTGAGGTACTTTCGATGATTCCCTGTATCCCGACTTCTTGAAAGCATTCATTCAGGGAAAGCAATGCCTTCGCCCTATCGAAAGTCATGTCAGAACTGTGTGAAAGCAAAACGGCGATGTGACCTCAGTAGTCCATGTTACCGCTGCCGAGTGCGGTCTCTGCGGTGTACGTACGAAAAGCGGCGAATAGCAACAGCAGCATCGGCGGAACTGGAGAGAGATACGACCCCTTCAGCTTCTACGCAACCTTTGACTATGATGACCACTGATGAAAGACCGGATCTTCTCGTGCAAATGAATGGCATGAATCGGTACCACGCCACGGATGACAATGATTCTGCGCTTCCTAGTTTCCCGGGCTACGACTTGGACTGGTCAGACGTCATGGCGAATATCGATAGCTTCGCTGTCCCCGACAAAGTCGGTGCGGACAACACAGCCCCCACGCGAAGTGTCCTAGCTGGGCAGGTCTACCAAGAAAGGATCATCTACGCAGTGAAGACGCTGAAATCATGGCCTGGTCTCTACGCGGAGCGCGGCCATATCCCATTTATCCACGCCCATCTATACGCACGGCACCTACCATCGGTCATGCAGGAAGCTCTCGGCGTGTGTTCACTCCATGCTCATCAGAATGATTGCAATGGACGTCTGGTTGCTCGCTGCGTCAGTCAAGCAGCGAGACGCCTAGTCAACGAGCATCATGAGCTAGACACGCTGTCGCCGATCGAACAGCTGGCTTCAGTACAAGTACTATGTCTCTACCAGATCATTCAACTCTTTGACGGTGATGTTTCGCTGCGCTCCGAAGCCGAAGCAGCAAGACCTCTTCTGGACCAATGGATTCGACAGCTCAAACATCGTGCGAAGCCGGTCGACAGTCCATTGGAAGACGCCGTTAGCGCAACCTCTACGCACGATGCATGGTGGGGATGGGTGTTTGACGAGTGTATCCGACGGACACTTATCGTCGGTTTCACGATCGAAGGGCTTTACTCTTTCCTCAAGGATGGCTGGGATGCTTCCCATCATGACTTTACGGACCTCTCGTTCTACGCACAGCGAGCGCTGTGGGATGCGCCATCAGGTTATTTTTGGCGGACGGCCCTCCAGGACCGATTATTGCTCCCCGTACGCTTTCCATCGTGGGACGCTGACACTGCTAACGCGCAACCTTCGGATCTGGAAGAACTGGGAATGATGATGCTGGCATTCATCAAGGGACTAGACTATTGCCGTGAATGGGCGGGAAAGGAGTCACTCGGTCGATTCGGGCTCCTACTTCCTGATCTTGGTTCGTAATAACGAGGCCTGAAATCCGACCGAGCTTCAACAATCCGACATGACCTCCGCCATTTCCACCAATTGCCTTTTGCCGCCCGTCCAAGCAATCACACAAATCGTCAGGCTTGTCTGTTCCCTTTTCGCCCCCGTCTTCATCTCTTCTAACGTGAAAGTCTGGATGTGTGCGACCGAGCTGATGTCGCTATCCGCCGCGCCGGATGACGCCAGCAGCTCGCGACTACTTTTGACTGCCATTCGGTGCATGCGACGCGTGTCCATGATCAATCGCTTATACGTGTCGCCGGGCATGTGCTGTCCGTTGATCCTGTTTTAGAGCAGGCCATTAGCCCACTGTTGTAGCTGGTGGGATCTGAGATGGAAGGACTCACGAAATTTTCAATGCGGGACTGACGCTTTCGTCCATTGCTTTCTGAGATATTTCATCATCTGGTTGGTAAAACATCTTCCGGAAAAGATCCTCCAACCAGTTACCGAGAGGTGTTGTATTGTAGGCCATTACTTTCGTAGTAGACACAGGATGACCTGGTTGAGAGTTGATGTCTCAAGGGTGAAGTGCAAAAAATAAAGAGATAGAGATAGGATACTTAGTCGACGTGTGGTATATATATGATACCCAGATTGCTGTTCTCTTGAGGGATTGACTTGAGCTTCCGATCCAAGCTGCGGAAGTTGGACTTCCGCAGCGGAAGCCTCCCATCGGAGGCGTGGGACGGAGCATCATAAGGTGCAGTACCTCAAGTCTTCAACTCTATTCAATCTGCCCTGTTTCAGGGCTCTCGGATCATGGATGATTTTCATGGAAGCATATGACAAATCTTCCAAATGAACAAGGGCTCATTGTCGACGCTACACGATTCTGATAACAATGGTAATCATATCATTGATCAATTACAGACCTCCATACATACAATATCAGAGTGCCACGACAGCGGCTTGATTATTAATAGAGTCTGCCTTATTCCTGAGGGTTACTCCACAACTGACTGTGCACCCCCAGTCTGATCAACTGTTAGGAAGTTTAATACTACTAGCTTAAAAATGAGTCGAGACAGTGTACTCTTTAAACTAGGGGTTACATATCCAAGATCATAGTGGTGTAATACGTTTTAGCAAATGCAGTTCTCAAAGGAATCGGATATTAGCAGAGGAGATATGATGCCCTTTGACTAATAGAGAAAAAGGGTGGGAGTAAAGCAAACAACACAGATACTGCATAGTGTGGGAAGCCTATATTCTACAGTCTGCCCTCAAAGATGTTTTTTATTTTGTCGTTGATGTAGGTTGGAGATCTGCTCATACTCTTCCTTTGACTGAATTCAAATGTGATTCTGTGTTTACCAAGACTCCGGGATTTGTCCAGTCCAGTGAATTTACCTGACCTTAATCAGGTTAGGCAATAGTGGCTTTGGACCTCATCTTTTTCTATTTCTGCAATAATTCCTGTATAGTTCGCCGCCCAATAAAGTCAATTTTATTCCATATTGTACCCACTGTTTGGAGAATAGTGCCACAGTATCAAAGTGCGGACCGTACCGACCTATCCTATCCTTTTAATCTGGCAGATTGAACTTAATAAAATCAGCGGTCAAATACATTACACTAAGCCCTTTTCAAGTGTCCTAAGTACTTTTTCCACTCTAATATCCGAGCTCACCCCTGCAAGTGTACGAGAAACCAGCCTCTTGGATTTTATTATCTAATTTATAATCAAAATTAGTTCACTGCGCCGCGATACAAAAAGGGAATAATGTCAAGCAACTAGGCGCTGGGGTTTGGGGCCCTTCAGGGGCGCTCACTGAGAATACCCAAGAGCATTTTCCTTTCACATATCTTGTACTCTTTTCTACCTCACACAGCAAGGCTTCACAGAGCTTGTTCAGCTTGAAAATGATGGCGGAACTTACCTGCGAGCAAGCTCGGCAAATCGTGGACGAGATCAGCCAAAGGAATGGTATCATCACTGACGAAGATCGAGCCGCAACGCCGCCTGCTGTTCTAAAAGCGCTGCAGAGTGTTCGCAATCGGCTTGGAAGCCATCTGGACCTATGGACGCTATGCGACACACCAGAAGTTAGAAGGGATGTGGTGTTCCAGTTGATCTCCAGCGCCCGCTTGTTGCAATACAATTGGGCAAAGAAGCAAGGAAAAGAACCCTATTTTTCCTTAGATGTATCTCCGGACCGTATGATTATCGACACCAATGACGATGGGTGCCTGGAAAGAGACATCGTGCAGCTTTCTGAGGGCTGTTCTCATTTCGTCCCCAGTTACCGAACCAATAAACTGTATGACGAAGTTCTTCTATATACATCTAGAATTGCCAGGGAAGCCCATGTACAGTCAGGTCCGTTTTCCTTCGCCCTTGGGACTCGAAGTCCCGGTGACAGGCTTGGATTTGCAACCCCGGTAAACAAGGACCCGGAACCCTTGCCCGAAGGAGTGCGCACCAGGATAATTTTGTACCCTGCTCTGCCGAAGGGATTTGATAAATTTGTGCGTGAGTTTACGGATATTGCAAACAACGGTTTCGTGCTGCTCGATCCTGATGACGCTCGCCGACCTATGTGCAAGAAATTTGTTTTCATTACCCGTCTAGGAAACTTCCAATTAACACGCCTAACATACGAGTTTCAAGTACGAAACGGTATCCTGGAGGTCACCAAAATAAATACGGATCTTTTTAAATCCTCTTTACAATTAACGGAGTGCTTCCTCCTATACAAGCCAACCATTCCGCCGTTTTCGTCCGATAAGATGGCGCTCTTGTTTCCTATCGATGAAGACTCAAGGCCCGTCATACGATCTCGAAAGGCGTACCATATTGTCGGTTCATTCGCTTTTCCTATTAGTGGGGAGGAATTCAGTGTATGCGGTTCAATTGATGCCATCTCCAAGTAGGCTGCTAACTGTATAGTTCATTGTTTGTGCGACTGTGACGAAGTACGACCCGGTCCGAGATGTCGACCTCGACACTTCTACATTATTACAAAATTGTGTTGTCGATTCCTTCTGTGGTGCCGTTACCTTCTGCCAAAATCACTCCATGCCTTACGAATGGGTCCGGTACATTCCCAAACAAAGCAGCGTCTCACCAGCTTGGCATAAAACAGTTCAAGGGTTAATTGAAAACCTCCGAGAGGCCCCCGTTTTTCAGAGTCAGAACGGCGTTCTAAAAAGCCTGTCTTCACTTCGGTACTTGTCCCCAGAGCATTATGGCGCAGATAATCAGCCCTTGTTCGGAGCTTCGGACGATGAACATTACCTTTCTACAAAGTACAGTGCCTACCTCGATTTTTTGAAGCCTCTAGGCCTCCAAGAGGTCTCGGATCATGAAGTCCTGGAAAAACTCAAACCGATACTGACAAAACCTTTGCGCGTGCTGCCGAGTTCCAATTTACAAAAGGAACGGATGTCGCTTATCCTACGACTGCTAATAGTCTGGCTAAAGAGGGATCCCAATAGCACTTTGGCGACTGAGATAAGGAACATTCCAGTTATTGAATTGAGCAATGGCTCTTTCGTTCGAGGGAACGACCTAAATTTGACAAGATCTGAAGCCGATTTGGCTTTTGCAAATGATGCTGTCTACTTTCCAACAGACACCAACGGCAATGGCCTTCCGAAATGTCTTGGTATTTTGACCGTTTCAGAGGAAGCAGTCAGTGACAGCGACCAAAAAGAACTATTTCGTCTCCTTGGGGTTCGACGCGCAAGTCCTGAACTGGTCATGGGGCTAATCACCCGCCACAGCCATGCCACCTCCTTTGTGCCGACCGCTAGGAGTCTTATAGCTGACTTTATGCGCATTCTATGCTACGTCTATGACAGCTGTGCCAAAGACGATCGCCTGAAGACGCCTTGCCTTATAGTTTTTGATGAGCACTGTCTGAGGAGACCGGTATGCAGGCACTCTTGCCCTAGGTATATTCCCTCCGATATATACCTCAGAACGGACGGTGCCTACGGAACGGAAGCTATTGCAAAAAGATTGGACTCAGGCTCTTTATTCAGCCCACGCCTTCGTCTGTTACACCCTGCCTTTCTCTATCCAAAACTCATAAGCAAAACGCAAATGGCCAATGATACGTGGAGAACATGGCTGGAACAGCAAGGGATAACACGGCGAGTTCCCCGGCTGACACATTGGAACAACCGTAAACAGCTCTCTGAGCTATTCAACATAATAATATCCCACCATCCAGACATTCTTCTCGGTATCTTGGGGAGGTATTGGGACACATACGAAACAGAGATAAAAGAAGAACCACTCATTGCATCCGCTATCAAGGGAGCGAAAGTCCCGACGTCAAATGGACTGGCGCGGCTTGATGAGTGCTACTTTCCCATCCCAGAGATTTGTAGTATGGTTGAGGCCTTGTCCACCGCATTGAACATTAAATTTCTCAAACTACCGGGGATCTGGGACCTAGACAGTGAGCAGGAATGGAGATTTCTTCGAGAGCTTGGTGTGTCCGGTGGTGGAGCGGCGACATTTATAATGGTGATTAAAGATCGCTTGTTATCCACCATGACATTGGAGGACGCCAAGCCGCATTTTTTCGAATTATACAGATGGATATCTGAGAGATTATCTGACGACTTATGGTATGACCGCTATTCAAATGCTCTGATCTGTTCTGACATTGTTAGGGAATTTTTCGACAATAAGAAGATCGTCTATATTCCGAATAGGGGCGATGGTGCGAAATTAGTGTGTCTCGATCAATGCGTTTGGTATGGCTCCTCGTGGTTGCGGACTGTGTACGCTCTTGCGTTCCATGAGGAATATGCGAGCGACTCGAAAATACAAGGCCTATTCCTACACACACTTGATGTACAGGATGCCGACTGGGGAACCTACATGACAGAAATAATGCACTTACAGGATGTTGGAGTTGGCTTGATAGAAGAGACGCGAAGGATATACCAGGCTATCATGGAGGATATAGAAGATGAGGAGGATTGGAACAGTCTACGGTGAGTGTAGGCTCCAGGCCGTGCCTAAACGCGCTCTGACAGTGGCTCAATGATTAGGACTCAATTTCAACATTACAAGATGATATATGTACCAGGCTCAAAGCAGTGGTATTCACCTCAACAATGCATCTGGGCATCATTTTCAACCGGGGACAAAATGGGGATAAGTAATGTCTATCCAGATATGAAGAGCTTCTTTGTTGAGAAACTCCAGGTCCAGCCACCTTCCATATCGTGTTATATCAGCCGTATTCAGAATCTTTGCAAAGACAAAGGAAGTGTCACTGAGGTTATTGAGGCTCTGTGCGATATCAACGACCTCGAACCGACGATGCCTGACTTGAATCGCCTCAGGCTTATCGATTTCCTGCCAATCGAGGGCACTGATGAAGAATTCTACTGGGGATCCGTAGCATCCGATTTCTTTATCATTGATAGGGACGGCTGGCCTATGCTATTCTATGGAAAGGTGCCAACGGTTCAGTTTCGCCTGGCAGAAGTCCGTAAATTAGCTCCGCTCTTGAAATCCCTGGGGCTAGAAAACCGCTTCATTTCCACTTGCGCAGCGAGGAAAACCAGCGTCTCGGAAATGCCTGCGCAGACCTCACTGCATCTTACGACTGACTTCCGTCAAAGATCATCAGGTTTGTCTAGGTATGTTTCTACACGTCATTGGTTTTGTGATACTTACGGCTAAACTTTTTAAGATGCATCGCGCACTACAACGGCGGAAATGTACGTGCTGCTCGCGAATTATACAACACATTTCAGAAGGCAGTTGTATACGAAACCGAGCATATCGTCGGAAAATGTACCTTGAATTCGTTGTCCGGTTCCAGCACAAGTTTGCAAACATACAGCAGACTACATATGGAATATCTTAACGGCAAATTGAGCATCTTCGTCCCTCGTGATGAAAATGAAAGACTTATATGCTACGCGACTCAATTACCGGAGGCACTGATAACTTCCCTGGAAATCAAGCATCCCACTGCCCATGGGATATTCGCTACAGTTCTTCAGGTACCAGTCGAGATCGTGCACGGTATATTAGAGATTCATGGTATTCCCGAAGTGACCGATCTGGACCCTGTCAGCCCGGTAATTATCGACGACTCGGAATCTGACTATGAGGATGCGCTAGAGGAGGTTTTCGTACCGAGGGCTTCGATTGCTTGGGGTGGCAAGGATCAATTGCTGGCATCTGGACAATCAGAACTCCAGCTGGTTCTACGATCAAAGGACATGCACATCACTCAGTATCGCTCACACTCGGACAGACATGAAAAGATGGTCAAGGAACCTGCGGACCAATGGACGATGTAGTAGGGATCATCTGAATTAACTAAAACTTGCCAGTCACATAATCAGCCGGCGAGCTGGCTGTTTTCCAATTCATCAGAGACCTGAAATTTTCTAGCTGTAAAAACCAAGCTTGTCTAAATTCCAAAGAAAAATAAATCTATTTACTGGGACACGATCCTACTGCCCCTGCACCGTTGCAAAGCTGGTCGTCGAGGCACAGGCGTAAGTCCATCCAAGCTGCCGAATACGATTTTCACCGTGGACCATCATTGGTCGGGAGTGGGATATTATCCTCAAGACTATAAACTAGAAGGGAGTGTTAAGCGGAAAGACCAAACGAGTGAACATGACGGGTGAGATATAAGATTTAGAAATAGAGAGAACATACTGGTTCTCAGGCAAGTAAAAAAAGGGCTCTCTTCCCTCAGCAAAAGGGTTCAGGTAGGCGAAGTTGAACATGCTTAGCAAGGTGACCCGGCGTGCACAAAAGCGCCCTGCACTGTGGAAGTTGCACATGCCACACTAAGCTGGGCGTCAGTGATAGCAACCCATAAAATGGTGTCAAGTGCTGCCATTTTCAGGCACTAGGTAACCACCACATTGTTAAATAGAGTATACTAAGGGGGCTATATTATTATAGGGTTATATAACCTCTACTAGCGTAGTTAGCCTACTCCTTAGAAAACTCACCCCTCTCTCACTACTGGTTAGGCTCCCTGGGTAGAGAAACCAACCATCTCCGTGCCACATCATTACTCATTATATAAAGTAAAATACACTTGATTAGTGGTAGGGGGGACCTAAAATTATAATAAAAAGTAGTGCGGAGGTATATATATCTAGGTACCTTGACATATGTTTCTTATGTTGTTCGTAGAGAGGTCAATGTATTGTGGACCCCTGGCCCATAATGATTTCCAATAAAACAGAGAGAATATATAATCATAAGAACAGCAGCGCGACCAAGCAATAGCTGGCCATGGGACTCTCTACTTCACAGCGCCGATAACTACCATATCTTGCAGAGTATTAAGCAAGTTCTACAGCACATTGGTAGGTTCTTATTGATGCAATGGTGAGGTGACCGAAGACATGCCCTAACAAAGACGCATCATAACCAGTTCCTTCATAACACCAAAATCCTCCCCATTTAATCTCCACAACTGCGCTGACCAGTTACTAACCACAGTCATCTTATCAGTCAACTTCATCAACGCCTGCAAAATGGTAATGAGAAAGAAAACATTCGATGACAGGCACGGAGACGGCTTCTCGTGGAGGTCTACTGATCCCAACATCGCAGGAATGCAGTCGTAGATTTCACTGGACATTTGCGACACCTCAGCGGATAGTCCGTTGGATTGCGCCCAGGATACATCGCTCAAAGCCCAAGTTACCAACTGCTCCTGCCTAGCGAGGGAGCTTTGAATGATCTTATGTGCAAGGATACGGCCGAGCCGGTAGTAAGTCCATACTCGTGCTATCCAACATCCGTCGGGTCCATGTTGTGATTTCACGGAGTTAACGGGATCCGTCCAAGGCGACAGGAGACAAGTCATCCAGGACTGTAGAGATCGATCAATCTCTATGACTTTGGAGATGATATGGCTTTGCCTTTGGTTCTGACCCTGGTTCATCTGGGCGTAAAGGTCCACCAGGCTACAGAGAAGGGGAAATAGCTGCACTGGTGGTGACTGGCGCGATTCCTCATTCGACGTTTTGGCAGATTGTACCAGATCAACAAGAAAGGACGGGATTCTTTGCTCGCTGATTACGCAGGCCATAGCCTAGGTGGGAGAAAGTCAGTTCCCAAGGACTATGAGAACTAAACAGACTGATGTTAGGTCATCACTTACGACAGTGTAGCAGAACTGGATCACAGCTGTCATCTGCGTGATATTCATATCTGCCAAACCCAGAGAATAAAGTAACGCCGTCGTTCCATGGATGTGCTTTAGCCACTGATAGGAACCGGAACGATTATCGTACGTTATCATCTAACGATTCGATCAGTGTGTTATAGATGATCGTACAGATATTGACGTGGGTCAAACCTCAAACATTGACAAATTAAAGCTAGAGATGACTGTGTACGGCGCGGGCGGCTGTTCAGGGTCATGGATGGCACGTGCAAGAAGCCGAAGCGCCGTCGCATACTTGCGTCGAGCCAGCTGCATCAAGTGGAGATCGCGATGAGCAGTTGCCAATGCGGCCAAGCCAACGGAGATAACACTCGTAACAATGATTTTTGGGTGCTCTTGGTCAAACTGTGGGCCGGGGCCGCGTATGATTCTGAATTGTTCATTGTAATGCTGCAGTGCAATCTCCTCCACGGGCATTGGAGGAACAAATGAGATTAGATTATGGTGACGGGCCTTGCTGTGAAAGGTGATATCTCTCTCTGTGGTACTATACTTCTGAGCTATTCTCGCCGTCTGATCTCGAAACATGAGATCCAGGTGAGTTCTATAGCCAGAGCACTGTAGGCCGGCTCGGGTGCATTGAGCGCATTTTGGTCTTACTCGGTTGCACTATCTAGAGTATTAGGGAAGAAGACCTAGAGTGCTCAACGGGGCCTACCTTGATCCTTCGGGACCGGCAGTTTTCACATCCTAGTTTGCCACCGCTGACAGATACCATGATTTGGAATGCTTGGATATCGAGCAGAGCAAGGCAATGCAGAGGATTATAGATCTCATGCGTAGACTGGATTTCGAAGGAAAGAGAAGGCTGATTGAGGCAGACAATTCCTCGTATAACCACCGGACTTAAGACATCCGACGGGCTTATATAATTGGCGCTATTTCACGACTGGATTTCCTATTTGGGACATAGTGCTTACTTTTAACAAATAAGAGCACGAACACGAGCAAAGCCATCAATTACGAAGTAGCCAGAATGCCAAGCATTTTGCAGAGGGCATCGGACGGTAGAAATCGCTTCTCCGACACCGAGGCTTCAGGAACATGCGCTATTGTACGAGTCGAATACCTTTTTTGGCTGTTTCCTTCAACCATGGCGAGGAAGTATTTTCCTAAGTATGAAGAATTCATCGCCACGGGCACATGAGGGAGTTATATAAATAGCAGCTTCATCCCTCCCCAGTACCCTATATTCCTCTTTCCTCATCATCAGACACTTTCTACTGTGCAAAGTGATATCTCCTGCATAATCTCTTTTTCCAACATGACCATCATCAAGAACGTCGCTTTACTCGGCGTAAGACCCTTTCCTAATTAGAACCTCATTCAGTGGCTAATAACCAGACAGAAAGGGTTCCTCGGCTCCGCCGTTCTTGATCAGCTCGTCAAAGCTGGTTTCAGCGTGACCGTCCTCACTCGCTCCCGCAGCTCCATCCAGGGAGTCCCAACCGGCGTTGAAGTAAAGGAAGTCGACTATGCGTCCGCAGACAGCCTGGAGAATGCTCTCCGTGGCCACGACGCCGTCGTCTCCACCGTCAGCCCAGCAGGATTCATGATCCAGAAACCAGCCATCGACGCAAGTATCCGGGCCGGCGTCAAGCGCTTCATCCCAGCAGACTTTGGAGCTCTGTCCACCGCCCCAGAGGCCCAGGGTCTCCCCGTGCATGCTCGCCCCTTGGAAATCCAGAACTATCTCAAGGAAAAGGCCCATTCGGGAGAGTTGGAGTACACCCTTTTTGCCGTGGGCGTGTTCTTGGACTATATAGTCTCCAGGCCCACTATTGTTGACTCAGTGAACCGGACGGCTGTGCTGTATGACGACGGCGAGCATCCATTCAGCGCGACTAGCCTCGCTAGTATTGGGAAGGCCGTAGTTGGGGCGTTGAAGAATGCCGATGCCACGAGGAATCGCGTGCTTTATGTACACGACATGGTTTTGACGCAGAGGAAAGTTTTGGCGTTGGCGAAAAAGTACTCTCCACCTGCGGAGGCGTGGACCGAATCAAGCGTCGATGCTGAAGCCACACTTGCTGACCTTGGCAATCAAATTTCAGAGAAGGGGATGCAAATGCCTCTGGTTGCAGGGTTGTTCAAGGCCGCGGTCCTCAGCGGGAAATATCCTTCCGCGTATAAGAAGGTGGACAACGAGATGTTGGGTCTGGGGATCATGGATGAAGAGGCGTTGGAAGCAATGTTTGCCGCAAACCTGTAACTGTCAAAAAGGAGGATGACTACTATGCTATTGTTATCGGCATGTTCGTGGTCTTTCATGGCAGCACTGATAAGGCACCTATACATTTGACTTTAGATGGTGAGATTCAGACCAAGAATGGTTGCAACCTAGGATTCTGCTCGCTTTGTAAACACATCATAGGACACTTAAATGGTGAGTTATATGCTCTTGCGTTTACCTTTCGTAAATCATTATAGTATGAAGATAGTATGAGACACATCCAATTACAATTCCATGGCTTCTCAATTCACACTTTTCCATAATCTTACTGCTTACTGCCTCATGGCCCACTAGATGTTACTAAAGAGTAGTGACAAATGAACGTGTATGAGCATATTAGATAACCTCTCTTTAGCCTTCAGTAACCAAGAATGGAGCCAGGGACTAAAGTCACCTTATTGGATTATTTTTGAATAAGAGGATTTACCCAAAACCAGACCCAAGCGGGAATAGAGGATAGATCCAAGGGTTTCTGCGGCCCTCATGAGGGGTTGCAGAATATCAGTGGTCGGGGATGTTATGATCCGCTCTACTCCCGGAGGCAATGTGACAGTACGATTTGCTGTACAATGTCATGTGCTTCCTTCTGGGCAGTATCATGTTCATAGGTATTATTGATATTAAATTATATTTGTCAGCTATGAGGCCTTCCAGATTCTTGCTTATGTGTGTATCATATCTGCATCTTTATTAACGGTAGCTGGGCAATTGTGGCCCACTTTTGACCCCTTTAGGAAATCGATCAATCGTGGCCCGCTTAATGTAAGCAGTAACCTTATTTACTAACTTGCTGCAGTTTATCGAGTTTTTCCAGACTGAAGAGATCCTGCCCTTCAGCGAAGACTAGCGTAACCTACCTTAGATGCTGACAAGCTTTATTGAAAATACAGAGAGAACTGCCCGTCAATGTAAATGACTTCGCGAAGTCAACAGGTTGGATTCTTCCACAGAGGGTTGGGCACGATCCTCCTTCTCATAGACTACTCATTATTTCCCCGATCCAGGAAAATTCTCGGATAAAAGAAAACCAACTTCGCACGAATCCATCAGGATCTGAGACACCTCCGAAGTCCCCAGTTGATAGGCTCGACATAAGGCCGTGGAAAGGCAACTGGACATATTATCACTACTGGTCAGCCACACCACGATGTAGATCCAGCCACGTGGAAATTAAAACCACGACATCTACACGCACATTTCCAGCAGGAGACACTTACTATTCCAAGTGAGCTACGGAATGCTATTGCTTCTGCTGAAAGGATTACCCCTGAGGAATCCGGCTGGGATCTGGATCCTACAGGAATCCTTCATCACCAGCCTGCCTTGGATGTCGGGGCCCGGAACACTCCGGAAAATGCTTTAGAAGATGATCGCCCACTAACTTACCCTCTCCGTTTATCTCCCAAAGTATAATTGATCATTTTCATTTGCGATGTCTTAAACGTGTTGAAGACGGTAGGGGTTCGAGACTTGGAGCGCTTACAGATAGATGTTGATATAAAGGCTGGGGTTGTCTGCTGCATTCTACCAGGCCATCAGTGTGCTGGCAAACAGTTTTTCGACTCTCTTTTGAGAACTTTTTCGTTCTTTCAGTCTTTCTTTTACAGTCTTTACATAGACACCCATCGTTCCTTACTCTGTAACAATGCGTCTGTCATTGTTGTCTACACTCGTTACTACCCTCCTTTTCACAGGAGCCCTGTCCTCCCCACACCCCAAGCATGACGGCAAGCATGGGGGCAAGCCGGTTCAACCACCATGGTGCGGCCCTGATGTTGCTGGACAGAAATCCTTGGCCTACTATGGAAACTGGGTGAGTAGAATGCTTATTTTCTACAACTACGATCCATGGCTAAGTCGATCGGATGTTAGGACATCTATGCCCGCAGCTTCATGGTAACCGACATCCCCGCCGATAAGTTGACTCATCTCTCGTACGCTTTTGCCAATGTCAACACCACCACTGGTTCAATGTGAGTGATACTATGTCCCTAGGAGGCTGCATGTTAGCTCGAAGAAAACGGCTACCAATGCTGAATCTATTTCCAGTATGCTGAGCGATGAGTGGGCCGACCTGCAGTATGCCTATCCCGGCGACGATACTTCGGCCCCCGGCACCAACGTCTACGGAAACATCAAGCAGCTCTACCTTCTTAAAAAGGCCCACCGCAACCTCAAGACTATTCTCTCCGTGGGCGGATGGTCTTACCGGATGAACTTTGCCCCTATGCTGGCGTCCGGGGCCAAGCGGCGCAAATTCGTGGACTCTGCAATGCAGCTGGTGTCTGACCTGGGCTTTGACGGCCTTGATATTGATTATGAATACGTCAACGGTACCGAACAAGCCGCACAGATGGTCAGTCTACTCAAGGATTTGCGCCAGGGCTTCGACGGCCTTGCCAAGAAACTGAACGCCACTTCCCCCTTCATCATTTCGTACGCCAGTCCCGCCGGACCAGACAAGTACAAGCTGCTCGACATTGCCAACATGACCCCCTACGTCGACTTCTACAGCTTCATGGCCCTCGACTACATGGGCGGATTCAGCAACTACTCTGGACACCAGGCGAACCTCTTCTCGGACATATATAACCCCAAGTCGACCGACTTTGAAACTAACTCGGGCATCATGTACTACATCTCAAGTGGAGCCCCGGCTTCCAAGATCCTTCTGCAGTCTCCCCTCTACGGCCGCTCCTTCAATCAGACTGCTGGCCCTGGCACCAAGTTCACCGATGTCGGCGCCCTGGGCAGTTTCGGCACCGCCGGTGTCTGGGACTACAAGGCGCTCCCCGTGCCCGGTTTCAATGCTAGTGTCGTCGAGCTGCCCTCGATCGGCGCCAGCTACAGCTACGACGCGGCCAGGAAGTACATGATCTCCTACGACACCCCCGAAATTGCCAGAATCAAGGCCGAGTACATCAAGGGCGTTGGTCTGGGTGGTGCTAGTTGGTGGGAGGTCAGCATGGATCGCAACGACACCAAGAGTCTGATCACTACAACTATCGACGCCTTTGGCGGTGCTGACGGGTTGGAGAAGAGAAAGAACAATCTCAACTATCCCACCAGCAAGTATGCCAACTTGCGCGCTGGGTTCCCTGGTCTGTGAGCCTGGACTCTGGAGCAGGTCAACTGATGGACTACACCCTTGGCAACTGTGGTGTGGGGTTTTGGTTGTAGATCAGTTTCTGCATATTTTGTTTCTTACTTGTAAGGGACTCTTCTAGCTTTGTGATAGATATGGTGCATGTTTACTTTGTTCTTTTACAATATGCTTCTCCTCACAAGCTGAGATTGCCTGCTATTGAGTGGCTGAGCAGCTTGCTAAGAAGTCAGATGAATTATCTTATCCTTGGAATATAGCAATTGTAAGATCTGTCTACGATCTCTGTTCCTGCACTTCTCCATAGTTAGGTGGTATCTCCGTAGTACTCCTATTCTGGTGATCTAGGCGCCATAAAGACACCCAGCTTTCAAATAAATCATTGCACTTCATCAGAATAGATCATCGAGTAGATCTTCGCCGTCTCACCTCTTATCAGACTGGCCACTTATTGTCTGGCGCTGATCCTTCCGATCAATAGTGGTTGATTGACTTTTGGATCCACTAGCAGTAGCCCTGATTCGTCCGTCTGGCACATTTGGGTAATAACGTGGCCCAGCCCTAAAATGCGATACCTTATTTGCCGAAATTTCGCCGCTGTCTGGCCTAATCCTTCAAAATGAATTGGACCTATCTACTCGTACCACCCCAGATATTCTTCCATTCAACGGCGAGGGAACTTGTAGGCTTGCAGCTGAAGGATTAGGTCGACTGACTAATCGGATTTTGCTGTCCAATGGGGTGCCGCCCCGAGGGAGCCGTCCTTGTGATTTGGCCTAGATAGTCACTCGTTGAAAAGAATGAGACCTCATTTGATTTCGAATTTGCATATAGATTCTTAGTCGGATCAAAACTTTACAAGTGTATCTCATTTCCAAAACAGAGAATGCTCCGAACTACAGATCGCAGTTGAAGGTTGAACTAGCAACTCTGCGATCCATTGGGGCAGTGCAACTACGGTGCGTTTTTCTAGATTACCAAATGTGGCTATAGTGTGCTTTCCAACAGAGAGTCAAAGTCTAATCTTAAAGGTGTAGTAGCAGAAGGTATCAGCTAGCTGATAGTGGCTCTGGCTGTGGAGGATATACTTTAGTCTTGTAGCCTTCCATTCCTGGCTAGAGCTCGCGCCGCGGCTTATCCATAGTGGTGCTATAGTGACAAGAATTATTGTATATCAGATCTTAGTAAGAGGAGTAGAAACATCTTACATCCCTCTTCTTTATAGTTCATCACCCTGGTTTAGGCCAGCACATTAACCGGACTTTCTCTCCGTACGGCACTAGATATAAGGTAATTGATCATATTCTAACACATCTGCTTTGCTTATAAAGGAATATAGAGTTTCAGTGATAGTCCTTACGCCTCTATAGATTACACGAAGATAATCCGCAGGCATATAGGGGGCTGACTTAATCACAGATTTTACTACATTATAAGCCCTAATGTCTAGGTTAGTCCATAATGATCTGCAGTCATAGCATGTCCTAATAGTTTATATATTAGCTTAAAGTACAATACATACTAAAAAAATAGAGGACATGGAATAAATTAAGTGGATATAGCTATTATATATAATCACAGAGAAGGAGATCAAGCTCTTAAGGGGTCTACCACTACAATACAGATCCTAGTAAATTTAAGCTTTCTCATCCAGATCATCCAGATTACCCACTCTCTCACTCCCACTTGAGTTCGGGCCATAAATATGAAGGAAAGGGCAAATCTAAGATGCAGTAATCTTATGTATATCGAGCTCAGTCTGTCCTGCAGGCTATTCGTAGTCATGTTTCACTTGCTGTTGTGATCATTTTTCTCCTCATGAGTAGAGTAGTCTGCCGATAAGGTATTCCAGTCTCCCAATAGTCAAGTCATCGCAAACCATTATCCATAGTCTCCTGCCCAAAAGCCATGAGGTACATAAGAGAAATCGAAAGACGAGAAAATGAAAAAGTAGAACAGAAAAGAGCAAAGAATAAACAAACATACGGAAATCATACAGTCATAATAAAGTAACACTACTAACGCCCCCTTGAGATAGACGGCTGCCGAACAAAATTGCGTTTTAACTGGGTGATCTCATCTTCTTGACGCCTAAGTTCACACAAACCTTCATAGAGAGCGGGGCAATCACCAAAGACTGCATGTCCTGCAACAATCTTTGGCTCTCCGTCGATGGGTAAGAATGTAACTCTTGGAAACAAGCACCAAGCTGGCACATTATTACATCCCTGCTCGGTATCAGCCTCCACATGATCAAACTCAAGGCAAGGCTCTGAGAGCCAGTCTGAATTGGACGACTGGGGAGGATCCGTATCGAATTCAATGATGCAACTGTCTCTCTTTGCCTTGTTCCAAAAGCGAACACATTCTGTGAGAAGATGCCCTAGGTCACGCTCAAAGTCTTTCTGTTTTTGCAGGGGTACAAGGGCACGAAGAACATCAGAAATGTGTTGAGTTTCAAGACGCGCGCGTCGATCAACAGCCGTGTTATCCTTAGTATGCTGAAGAGCAGCGATGTCAAGGCCGTACAAGGTGAGATATCGCCACAAGCTTTCCTTCCTGCGATCTTGGCGAGCAAGCGCTTTCGAAATCTGGACGAAGGTGGAGATCTGATCTGGAGACAAGGACATCATTGATCCACCAAAAGGCTGCCAAAGAGAATGGCATATAGCCTTCGCGACGACTGATTGTGCCGCCCGGATACGGAGGTATTTAGATGCATTAGAAGCCGTCAGAGGGACAAATTGAAAGATCTGATCACTGTCACGAAGGACACGTTGGAGCTGATCAATATCCTGTGGGATGTAAGAGATGAATCAAACGCGGCAAGTGGGTATCCAACTTACAGCATCTTCTGGTGGAAGGTCTCCGAAATACGCATGTGCAATTGCCTTGAGGGCTTGGTGTATCTTGGATAAATCTCCCTCGCTAAGGACATAGTCAGCAATTTGCAATTAAAGAAATATACGAGAGACCGCTTACAACTCTGCCAACGGGGAATGTTGAGTCTTATACCTAGACTCAAGCTCCTTTTGCTGGTCCTCCAGCTCTTTCGTGCGAGCCCTGAATAGCGTGAGGGTCATTTCTGCATTGTCCTTAGTCTCGGTGAGATCTGAGACTTGGTGCTGCAGTTGTCGAATGTGCTGCGCGGCCTGTTCAAGTTTCGCGGCTGTGGCCTTCTCATTCTGTTTGACTTGTCTCTGCAACTCGTTCTCCAGTTTCTTTTTCTCAGTTGCTATAGCTGCGTCATATCTGGCCGCCTCCTCAGCCTGGAATCGTTGCTTTTCCTCTCTCAATTGCTTGCTTGCTTCATCCAGGCTCTCCTGAACACGATTGAGAGAGGTTTCCTTTTCGTTGAGCTGACTTTGTAGCTCCATCAACCGACCTTGTTCTTCCTCAATCATACGGGCCTCTTCATTCTTGGAACGCCGTAGTTCCTGGACTGTGGCAGAAAGCTGTTGTATTCTTTCATCTTTCCGCAGCAGATCACCTAGAGCGCACTCAATCTGTTCCACATCATTACTGTATGATCCCAGAAACTTGATCACTGCGACCAGGCGGTCAATAGGCTCTCGTGGAACTCGACGGCCAGCATTTATGTGTCTAACTTCGTCACTACTTTCCTCAGTCACTTCAATGTTACCGAGTCGAGCTTGACGTCGTTTTTGTCGACGTGATTGCCGTACGTTTTCCTTTATTTCCAGATCTGTTAGCAGCTAATTCGTTCATGATATCAGAATTGACTGTGCACCAGACTTACCTGCGTTTCCTTCGAGGACTCAGAATGCCCGTTCATAGCGATAAGTGACTTCGTCAGACGGGTCAAAGGAGAAACTCTCTTGTGCGGCACCATGAAGCGGATATGAGTGAACCAACAAGCCTGCTTCGACAAACCAGCTAACATGGAACAGCCGACGGCTTATATATTGGCTCATCGGTGGGAAAGCAAACAACTTCCTTTGATGTCGTCTTTCCCACGATCAGCATTTCGAGGAGGGCTTCCCACCTATACGCCTGATATTTTCGCCTTGATAGGGCTTTCCTTTGCTCCTTGAGTTCATGCATGTGCTGCGCGTCTCACGCACCTTGAATGTCCGTGCGCCGGAAAGGAATAGAAAAAAGAAAGAGGTGCCTTGTCTGCATTTCTACTGAATGCCCAGCATGGGAAGAGTGACAACCCAGTCAGAGGCGCATCTCGAATTGGATTTTCCAGGGTGTCACAGTGGGGGAGAAGCAAACCACGGCAGACTGCGGAGCGACGTGGGCTATTGGTTTCCGTATAATGGAGGAATGAAGCCTCATGCGGGGCGAGGTTCGTGTTGACCATCGCCATTAGACAGCTAACAGTCCATACGCATGGGTCACGCAAGCATTTCATGGAAAGACGAGGCTGAAATGTGGTAGTCAGCACTCTCTCCGCACAGAGGATTTCCTCATCTGGAGGGCGACATACCTAGTGGCACTCCCTCACCCTCACAAATGCACTGTGGCACAGACAACCTGCATCAGCGCTCTTGCCAGCGGATAGTGTTTCGGAAAGCGCGGACAATCGATAGATATGGCTCCAAGGTAAGGTATCATGGTGCCCGTTTAGGTCAAGGTCTGTCGGAGGCACTCGATTCTGCCCTTCGCTCATCCTTCATTCGGGAATCTGATCAGTTGTTCATGGGTTGTGCGACGCATAGCGCCGCTTTAAGGTCTAGCGTATACTAATCGTGGATTGGATATTGGGTGATTCGCACTATGTTTGATCTAACCCGTGCAGATTATTGGTTGAACCATCACCTATCTAACCCATCCTCATATCCACGACCGTGGATAATGGATAATACTGTAGTATACTGATTCCCACCTATTGTTCTAGTATTTTAGCCACACCACTAGGATATCTGTATATTTTATTTAATATATAGACAGATATGACTATTCTCTATTTAGTATTTCAAAAGTATATGCCTAAGTATGGTTAACCCATTTAGTTGTGGGTTGGATTAGAGCCTACCTAGATCCAATCCAGAATGCGGAATGGGTTGGTTGGATATGGATTTGCAGATTGGGTCAGCCAGTCTAGTCTAGAGGGTATGTGAAGTGGAGTTTCATAGATGCGAACATGTATTCGAGCGCATTCCCCATTGCGTAATTTGGGATTCTACAATGCCTGGAATTGCCAATTCGTACGCTAAGGTTGAAAGACAGTCTCACCCACCAAAGATTCGATTCTGACAGATCTGCTAAGGCTGGAATTTCCATATTGAACTATAGATGTACAGCTCTGCCTTGCTGTCGATTTAGTTCACTGCAAGCGATATAGGTACAGCAACTAATATGGGACGATATTTCCAATCTCTTCTTCTAACAGCATCACTAAGCTTTGACGCCCATGTTCTTCTTCTCCGGTGGCACATTGCTGATGGATGTGTCCACACCTTCCATCACATCAAGTAGTAACCTCGCCATCTCTTCATTGCGAATTGCGGTGTAGATTCGACTGACGTAAGTTCCAATTGTTCGCTTTACCTCCACTGCATCATCTTTATCGAACACAGGGTGGTCTTTGATGCCTAGACGAAATGGCACTTGTAGCTGTTCCCGTACAAAACAGTAGACTTGCTCTGTCCTCTGGGCCAGGTACTGAGGGGTAACCCTATTCTTAGTGAACGCCTCGCGTGTCTTTCGGTGGGAGTCTTCCAGGATGGTAGGGAGTACCTCCTTCCATCGTTGAATGAGTTCCCGGTATTCCTGGCGAGAGTACCCTATCTCGTCCAAGCTAACCATCTGCCCCAAGCAGTCACGGGAAACTTGGGCACATTTTTCCTCTACGTCTAGACGGTTCCTGTCTAACCATGAGGTCCTAATAGCAGACCATATCTGGTCAAAATGCGAATCACTCAAAGAATCCTCAGGGATTCCAATATGGTTACAGAGACCATGAAAGGACGCTTCGCATGCTGCCCTTGCGGTTTTGAAGAACTCCATTTGCATGACTCGCAAGTCTAATGCTTGGCAGACTATATATATATGTGCTGCACATGATTTCGCATCTCTGCAGAATGTATATTGCTGACCACCGAGTTTGTTAAGAAGCCGAGTTCCGAGCAATATGCGGCCATATTTACATCGAGCCCTTTGGCAGTGAATGAAAGACTGGGGTCCTCAACACACAGGTTGAGAGGCAGCCCGTTATTGATTAGTGGATCGACCATCTGTTGAGACTGTGCCAGCAACAACTTTCCTAGCATGAGTAGCGACGTCCGCGTTTTGTCCATCGCGGACGTGATTACCGTGGCTTGAAAATTTCCTCCATGATGGTAAGAGTTCTCCTGTGCATCAATGAGGGGGTTATCGGTCGTCGCATTGAGCTCGACGCTGACCTGGCCGTCTGCTGCGAGTAAGTCTTCCACTTGCGGCCCAATCCACTGAGGTGCGGTGCGTAAGTCGTAGCGATCCTGCACTAGGCCCGCTAACTGCCCTTCCATACCCTGAGCGAGTTTGGAGCCGCAAAGAAATCTCCGGATATTCCCTGATACCTCCCGTTGACCAGGATGGGGGCGACATGTGGAAATGAAATCATGGTAATTGTTCACCGTTCCCTGGAGGGCCTCGGTGCTCAGAGCAGTCAAAATCTGTACTAATACCGCCAAAATATGGCTGTCATGGACCACCAGTGCAGCGGCACTACTGCTGGGAGCGGTACCATTCATTAGTCCTAGACCTTCTTTTCCCTGCAGCTTAAGTGGTGCCATATTAGCACACCTTAGCGCCTCATCTGCAGAAACAATCTGGAAGTCTCCCCTGTCCGTGATCCTAACCGGGATATCGGGATTACCTTCCAACAAACCGCCGAGATAGGCGAGTGGGGTGAGATCACCAGAGGCAGAGACGCTCCCACGTGTGGGTATCAAGGGCATCATGTCCTTTGCCAGGACCTCCATCAAAAAGTCGGCGATGTCCATCCTCACGCCTGAATGCCCTCGAAGGATGGAATTGCAGCGCACAACGATCATACCTTTGATTATATCATCTGGAAGACTGTATTGTTCTGAAGCAGAGTACCTCCCTGGCATAGTCTTTTGAGATGAATTCAACAAAATAGCGCACTGATGATGCTGAAAGAGAGAGTGTTGTAGTGTCGTAAGCTGGCCCGTCCTTGTGTACGAGGTTCCCCCAACCCCAGTGTTTACACCTGATCGCTACATCAGAATAAGTCACCATAACGCACAAACCAAAGGCGAAGTACCATATACACTTTGTCCACTATCAATCATAGAAAGAAGTGTATCAGCGCTGGCCTGCATACGGCTAGTCAGAGCCTCGGTTCGTCGGATGGAAACCCTCGTCGAATGCCTTTGAGGCAAAGGTCAATTCTTCCCACACACAACACATCCTCTTTCGAGATGTTGGGATCTTACCTGGCGATTAAAACCAGTTCGGCAATACTCAAACTCTGGCCGTCTATATTCACCTCATTTTCGTTCTCCAAGGTCGAGACGAATATGCGCAGATGTTTTCTTACATGGCCTAGATGCCCAGCCATTTGTGCTATATACGACAGTTATTGTAGACAAATCAGGCTCCAATGCCTACTGGAAATAGTTGAGATCTGATCTTCTTAAAAGCAAAAAAACGAAAGCAAAATGGTAGAGGCGTACCGCCAATGACTACCGCCAATGACCAGCACAGTTCTTGGTCGTTGCCGCAAACGGAAGGAGGCAATTTCACAATTCCTGGCGTTTAGGTGCGAGCTTATTAGGCAGGACAAATCTGGTTTACCAAAATAATACTCTTTAGATGTAAAGTAGAACGAATAAATAAAGCAGCGTTCCATTTTGCTAGCTGGCGTCATTGCAATAAAGCTCTCGTCTCCGGATCATCCGACTCCCTTGACGTTGCTGGGCCACTCCATGGGTCCTCATAATGTAGCTTTTGATTTCCGATCCATCAAAACAGTTCTGGCCATCCTAATAAGCGGATCTAAATTCCAAGACCGCCTGCCCGGGTCAATCAGTCTGCTGCCCATCTAGAGATCGGCAATTATTAGATACCTGCGTCCCTGTACAGATATAGCAACGAAGCTTCACTATCCATGAACACTCCATTCATGGAGGTCGTAGCAGTAGGTAATATACACAGCAAGGATGGAAAAAAAAGCAATATACCTTGTTCATCATGCAGTCTGCTATGGCTTGGGTCGAAACAGGACAACGCAACAGCTGGTAAGCGGACGCGTAGATCTCCAGGGCTACTTCGATGTTCTCCGACATTCAGCGCAACACCAAAAAATGGACACCCTTCCCTTGGAGATCATCCTCGCTAACAGTAGTCGCGTCTGAGACCAAAAGGACAAGCCCCGACTGCTTTAAGTATGCTGATATTAGTACGCCATGCATCTGAGCAGAGAGGACAAGATGACGGCCCTCGGGCCAATATCGGCGGTTCGGATCCCTGGTGAAATTCGGCCAGCCACAGGACTGTGATACCTATGCCAGTCAGGGATAAATGTGACCGAGATTGTGTAAAATTTGATTGTGCAGTGGATGAGTTGTATCAGATAGCCAGTGATGACTTTCAAATAGTCAACTTCAAGTATTGAATCGACCTATACTTTGATCGATAGATATTTTTTGATAGGTTCCAATAAAACCTCGTATCGGTATTGCCTGGCATGATATCTCCACTCACAACAACAGTTTTTCCTTCTAAGCTAGGCACGGACTCGAAGACAGATCTTATAACACCTGCGAACCGGGTCCAAACTGCATCTTTCCCCGTATCAGTGGGACTAACGGGCGCCGGGTGAAGGTCAGAATTCTCTGTGGATAGGTGTAGATGATTCTTTCCCACATATGTGCTGTTGTTTCCAAAAGCAGATAACGTTAGATTATGTTTTCGACAAATAGGAGCAATAATACGGGTGGCTCGGGATTTGACGAAGTCTGGTGTTTGGTGCATGACGATCCGGTAATTAACCAAGGCCGAAATATGCTCTGGTAAACTGTTTGTTTTGGACCCGCCGTTGAAGATATCAGCCGCCTGGGATGTTTGTAGCAGGAAGCGAAAATCGGCGCCCCTAGAAGAGGCTAGTTTCTCTGCTGCAGAGACATAGTTGGTAGACTGTAGTGCTCCTGCAAGCCATGGTTCAACATAGTTCGGTGAATACATCATCTGGCATTCTAGTCTTTGGCGCGACGGATGCCTCTTGTCGAACAGGGGCATAAAGAGATTTTCCCGTTCGAGGGCATAGATAATCTCAGACATTATTCCAATACCTGTGTGCGGCGGAGGAACGGAACTGTGTCCACCTGGCATAGAGAGGTTCAGAAAGACACTGACACTGCCTTTTTCGCTTATACTAGGGATGGCATAGACTATATCATCACGCCCTTTGTTATTAATGAGGTTTTCGATACCCATTCCCCCTTCGTCAAGGATGAGTTCAAAGCTGTCATGGCCATATTCATCCTCGAGGACGGAGGAAATCGAGTTAGCACCAAGGAATCCCTGGATTTCTTCATCGAATCCAAAAGCAAGAATAATAGTGCGGGTCGGGTGCCAATTTTGATCCAAAAGGTCCTCAGTTACAGAGAGTATTGCAATTAAAAGGTTCTTGCAGTCGCTTGCCCCTCGGCCCCAGAGCCATTCGCCATCAAAATGCCCTGCGAATGGGGGGTAAGTCCAGTCGGAGAATTGATCAATAGGAACGACGTCTTGGTGGGCTGCGAAGAGAAGAGGCTTCAGTTGGGGTTCTGACCCCTTAAGAATAAAAAGCAGACCCAATCTGTTGACGTGGTTTACGATTGCCTTTAAGTAGCTTAAGGCCGCTGATCGTTAGATGTAGATGTATGCTATATAGGAAATGGAGAAACGTACGTTAGAGGGAAAAGGGACTGGAGAAGGCCATGGAAGTCAAGAAACGGCATGAATCGTTCATCGTAGGGATCGCTCATGTCGCTCTCTATTACAGTTGGGATCTGGACGGCTTTGGAAAGACGCTCAACCTGGCGTCGTCGGATTGCCTGATTTTGCACGAATTTGAGGCTCGGGTGTAGCCCATCTTCAGGGCTATCCACCTTGGGCGCTAGAGGACAGATCTTCGTATTGCCATGCCAGAAATTGAGAATCTGCTGCTGAGGTGGTATGGTAGGAAGTATGACAGATGCTAATGCTATAAGAAGTCCCCGCCTGCAAGAAATAGAACCTTTGACAGCATATCCTGAAATATTGGATGGCAAGCACTATCGTTTGACTGAGCGTAAAACAGGGGGCGACTGATGTGAGGTGGAAGATTGTGAACCTATCTTAGTAGCATCGCAGAATACTATTGGCAACTTGTGTTGTCATGGATTTGTAAACCCAAGCAACACGACTACAGTCCAATTGATAAATAGGTTAACCTCCAACCTGGTACTCGGGACAAGAGTGGAGACAACGTTGAATGGTGCATCTCAACCAATCGAACCAAGGGTACAAGTACCGCCGATGTGGATAGATACCTGTGAGTCTGTGACGTTCGCTTTGCTTTGGGCGTGCTGCTTTGCGGGCCCAATAATTCGCACCGTGAGGATCACTACGTTCTCGGTAAGTCCTATGGCATTAGAAATTATTGTAGGGGAATTTATGGCGGACATTTTGAGACTCACTCATTCTCTAATTCGGACGAGGGCAGTTTTGGAGGAGTGGTCGCACACTCCTAAAATTAGGTAGGACATTTTTACAGCAACTTTTCCGGCTTGGACTAAAAGTCACAATCCTTTCAAACTATTGTAACTGGAGCGATGGACAAATGTCAAACTTTGGTATCCTGGGATTGCAGCGGGCGCATTCTGCGCAAGTTTCGAAAATCCAGATATGACAAATACACGGGGCCTGCATAAGGCGAAGCATACACTTACTTGGCCTAGATTTAGGTTATGTTGATTAGTTATAACGTAAGAGATTTTAACAAGTCCACTTGGACAAGACATGTATTTCGACATCATGACACCCACCTTTTGTAGACTTGGACAAGGCCAGTTTTAGTGATAGTCTACTTGACTGGACGTCAAAAGTTAAATCTTTACACAGTATGGTCAACCGGGCTTCACATAATAGTCTGTTTTTGTGAACCCGTATGAAAAGCCAGAAATTATATTAGTGATTATAGATCGAAAATCACTGTACAGTCAAATGAAAGCAATGAATCACCGGTTCTATCATTGCGTGGTTATTATTATTGCGCTTGGGAGTTGAATTTATCAGATTTCAACAACGGAATACCAAAAATCGTGGAAAAGAGGAGTGGGGGGGGGGGGAAGTTGTGTCCACGCCAGCTGTTGGTTTGGGATGGTAGATACGGAGAAAATTAGCTATGACGGAAAAAATTATAAGCAGGTTGCTTAAACTTGAAAACTTGGAAATACAGAGAGGAATAGAGAGGCGTCTATTTTGGAGGGATGTGTGGAGTACGTAGTAGAACAACGTTGTGGCGTTGTGCACGGCAGCTGTTCAATGCCAGTACAATAAGAGTGGAAGATCCCAATTATGCTTAACATACTTGGGCCATGAGTCGCACAGTTTTTGATTTCTTGGTCCTTTATTCCAATCTCCGCAGCCAAGCTAACTGCGCCAGTTTCAATTAGGAAAGTCAATCCCATGTGGGGAATGCCCAAAGGATAAAAAAACCTTAACTATGACTTGCATGAATGGGGCCGCAACTATTACCGATGAGACGGTAGTACAATAGAACTGGCTGCCTCTTGCGGCAGCGCGCCGTCAATATTAGATAAGTTTACAAACCCGTATTTTCTGGCACATTCGTTTAAGCCCGATTATCAGGCAATTTTCGCCAGCACAATGTGACCCTCTTTGTCGCACTCGAATCTGTTGTCAGGGCAGTAAGATATAGAAATGTCGAGTCTCCACTATCCCTAACGTTGGCTAGCCGTACCAATTCTTGCCCTTGCCAGTTAGGAAAACTGCAATGGGTCACATGATGTCGAACAACAGGGGGTGTTTGAGACTCGTCGATGAAGAATGGCCCAGTGTAAGCGAAATATCTTTTCCCGGCCTCAGTGTAGTCCTTCTCAGAACCCCCCAAAAAGTCTTCTGATATGAATGGAGCCTGGCCCGGAACCTGGAGCTGCGCTGACATATACCCGGATGGGGCGTAGATAATCATCCCTTCAATTTTGTCCGCAAGGGAAGAGTCCTTCCCAGCTTCCGAATTTGCGTATTCCACTAATTCCCATGTACCGATCAATCGATCCCGCAAAGATCCACTATTTGTTGGTTCACAGTAATCTAGGAGACCCCTTCCTGTCATACGGCCCAGACGGCCCTTCGCAACATAATGTTCTCGAAGATATTCCAGTGGATAAGTTGGAATATTTCCGCGCTCTCGGATGTAATGCTCCTCAATGTCACAGACAGTCTGAAGCCCGACTTCATCCATAATCTGGCACGGTGCAAGCGTTGACTCGAAACCATATCTGAAGAGTTTATCAATATCCTGTGGGCTTCCGATTTTGTCGGCAAGCACCATCATCACTTCACGTTTTATCGCCGCCCAGATGCGGTTTCCAATCAATCCTGTCGACTGACCATTGACGACAACAGGTTCAAGGCCGATATTTAGAATCTCATGAAGCAAAGTTTGAATAACATTAGGATCCGTATGACCACAGGACATCACCTCGACAGCGGGACGCTCAGGGGGATAAGAGTAATGCGCGTTGAGGACTCTAGCCCGGCCATTTGCTGTGACGGAAGGAATGAGCTCACCGCTCTTGAAGGAGGATGAGTTGGTCGTGATAATTGTTGTTGGATCGGAGAAGCGGTCAATTTCCCCAAGCACACGACATTTGGTTTCAAGCACCTCTGGGGTGCACTCAGCCACCATCCATGCATTGCGAACTGCACCTTCAAGATTGGATGCAACTTCCAATATTCCAGGCTCGCTTCCGACACTTTTGGCATAAAGTGGTAGTTTCGACTGGATCCAAGATAATGCATCAAAAGCCTTTTGTTCATCTATATCGAATATGACAACTTTGCCCCGACGCATAGCCCACACAAGACCAACACGGCGGCCTATCGTGCCGCAGCCAATAACTGCGACGTGTTTGTTATCAGTCAATTTATCCATTCGTTTTACCTCTCTTGGGGCCATAAAAATTTAAAACTGGCGAACACCGTTCAATGTCGCCCTTTATACAGTTTCGGTTGCCCCCAATTTTTGCCGCTAATGAACAGTGGACCAAAACTTCGCCAAACACAGTGTTACCCTGCGTATTACTGTAGATTGAACCATATTACCGCCAAAGAAGGTCCTATTTTTAAAGATGTTACCAGTCAAATATTCTGAAAATGGAGACGACATCATGACAATGGGACTCGAAAGGTGGCGAGACCTCTGTTCATTCTGGAGCTCGTTAGGTCGAAAGATAAGTGAGGTCTATGATGAAAGAGCAGAGAATGGCTGCGTCAGTAGCGTACATCTGTGAAGCAACCTGGCGCCTGGCTGGTGTTGGACCAGTCCAGGCTCTGTAGTTTTCTGACGTAGCGTTGGAAAGAAGCATAGTTCTATGTAGATCAGTTTCCGCACTTTTCCGATAGCAACTATTTGCGCTGGTGGTTTAAAGCATGTGGCTATACAAGTCCTACTCTTGACAAGCATGAACTGGTAGCTAAAACTATAATAGTTTAGTCAATAACTAGCCACCATGTTTCATTACAAAATTGGCTTTGATCGGATAGCCGCGGCCCCGAAGACACTTTTTCAGTCTGTCCAAACATGAATATTCTATAGTAATACCGTTCTGCTAGTCTCTATAGCATTCATAGTACAGATTCGCGTATTTAGCGCAGTCGCATAGCAGAAATGATCGTGTATTACTGGGACGTACGGCAGGTAGCGGCATTGTAATGACGTTACGTAGAGTTAAAATTATCTGGGCTCCAGTAATGGTTGTAGAGGGTATAAATCCCCTATGTAAATGTTGAATACAATGCAGCAAGTGCTTTGAAGCAGTTTTTCTCTGTCCTTCAACAACACCAGCCATCTATGGGATTATTCCTTCATCAATTATGGCGGCTTCAAACGCGTCCCAAGACCGCGTGTCTGTGATCATAATAGGGGCAGGAGTATCCGGACTTGCGATGGCTGTTGAACTAAAGAAAAGGTTCTATTGTGACGATTACCTGATTTACGACAGGTTGGGTGGATTTGGGGGAACATGGAGGGCAAACACTTGTTAGCTTGACTCCTTGTTACTCTTGATTTGGCCAAAGAACTAACCTAGTGAGACCCTGGCTGTGCTGTTGACATCCCTTCGGTACTATACAGCTACTCATTTGCTCCCAATCCTTGGTATTCAAAAATATTTCCTTCTCAGCCCGAGATTCTACGGTATATCGACGATGTTGCCGGAAAATACGATGTAGTTCGGCACTTGCAGTGCTTCACGGAGTGGAGGTCAGCTCGTTGGCAGGAGAACGAAAAAACGTGGTTAGTTGAGTTAGAGGATCTCTCAACACATCAGACATATCATAGAGTGTGCAAAATACTCGTCTCTGCGGTTGGTGCGTTGGTAAACCCAAACCCATTCAACGTACGCGGCGCGGATCTGTTCCAAGGGAGCGTCGTTCACACAGCAAGATGGACACCCTTCGAAATGAGAAATAAAAATATAATTGTAGTTGGAAACGGATGTAAGTCTTCCATGCAGAGCTATGGGCTAATCTTAGCTGACTCAAATACAGCTTCAGCAACGCAACTAATTCCAGCTATCGTTGACCAGGTCAGCACAATAACCCAATTTATACGAGTAAGTGACCTATCAAGCTTTATCTTCACGTATCTAATGTACAGACACCACAATACTATGTACGCCTGCCGTCAAACTACTCCATTCCCCTGCTACTAAGGTGGATATTCTACTACCTGCCCATATTATTATTTTTATTTCGATACCTTGTCTTTCTGTGGCTAGAGACTGCGTATTTAGAAACTCGCAACACAAAACTTGGTGAAAAGGCACGCCAAAAATCGGCGGAGAAAAGCATCTCTTATGTTCACCATGAGACACCCAGTGAGTATATCAAAAAGTACAGCCGTGCATTTCTAATGGTAGATTGGCAAAGGAGAATACTGGCGCTTACTTACCCCATCTTACGAATACGGGTGCAAGGTATTCTTGTCTTTGTACTACATTAATAAGATATTAAAGGGCTAATACATCCAGCGCCGGGTCTACGACGGAGGCTATGTGCCTTGCCTAAAACGCAACAGCGTTTACGTTACAGATGACCTAGTCCGCGAAGTTCGTCCCAGGTCCGTTGTGACAGAGACGGGGAAGGAATATTTTGCAGACGCAATTGTTTGTATTTCTGACTGACCTTTGAAAAGCGAGACTGACTGGTGTCGCAGGTGCTGGCTACCGGGTTTTCGTTGAGTCACCTCGACATTGACATCCGAGGCAGAAATGGCAAACATCTAAAAAGGCACTGGGATAGCTTCGGGTACAAAGAAGCGTTCAAATCGGTTGCAATGCACGACTTTCCCAACTATTTTTATATCACTGGACCAAATTCTGGGCGGGCATACACCTCCGCAATATTCGCAAGTGAAAAGTATCTTTAATAAAACCATTTTGACGTCCTCACCAGTCCTATTCTAACCGTCGAATTTAGCTTTGTTAATCTGATATCGCGCGTGATCTCTCCTGTCCTGAGAGGCTCTGCTACATCGGTCGAAGTCAAGCTTGAAAGTGAAAGGAGTTATAATCGGAAGCTTCACACTACTCTGGAAACTACCGTTTATGACAGCTCATGCTCAAGTGTGCGTTGTAATATGTGCAAGACGAGGCTTTTGACGTACTAACAGTAGTTCAGTGGTTTATCGATGAGAGAACTGGAAAGAATTGGGTAATTTACCCGTGGAGCTCCTTCCAAATGTGGTATACGACGCATTACGGTGTGGACAAAGACTGGACATACGATGTTAGTATTCCATTTTTCGCTTGAATCGTATTTCCACTGTTTTCGTGCGTGATAACTTACTCGGGAGCAGTAATTGTGGCCAGACTAGGTTGGTAACAGGAAGGACCGAAGAACGAGCAACTAGATTTTTGGTGGAGAAGCTGTGCTGTGGAAGTAATCAGCAACGTACGACAATACAGTCCTACGTGATTGAGGCTTCTCTATTGGGTACACACGGCCTGAAGTCGGATATGTATCCTTAGTCTTCAGCAAAGCAACAAGCAGATGCAAAAGTGAATTAACAGAAAAAAGCTGCTTTCTTCTATCATGTGTAGAGGAATCTCCAATTACTACGGACTGCTTAGTGGAGCTTACTTAAGCCCTTACTTTCTTCATAATGTTCGGTGGACGGATCTGTACGGTCAATGCATATCGCGGAAAAGAGAAAGTATAACTATGATGGTTCTTGCGTAGTCTACGTCAGCCAGATCGACACTGACGTATATAAGCCTCCAGTCTCAATTCGGTAACTATGTATGACCAGCCAACCTTTAAGTTGCCGCCTAGCTCGCTGCTCACATCACAATTTAGGTTGTTCATCTCATTCCTTGCTCATGAGTATTTCACAGCGGTATAAAGCAAGTAGTCTGTCCATTCTCCATATCACTCATAACACTTTCCTTCATACTTTTTGAGTACCTCTTCTTCCCCACAGTTGCAGTTGCCCGCGTACACGGACCTCGGTTCTATTTAAGCGACATGTCAGCGGAACGAAGGATCCACTTGTCAGGAGGAGATATTGAGAGGAATATCTCGACGTATTTTAAACGATATCTGGCTGTCAACACCGGCAGTAAGGTCCGTTAGTTTCCTGTCTTCATCCAGGACGTACAAGCAACTCAGATGTATAGCAGAATTGGGATTTGGATGCAAATGAGATTGGTCTTTCAGTGGAGTCCACTTCCGTACAGCCTTTACCTAGCGTGAGCTTCCGCTTTACGGTAAAGCAGGGAATGTGTAACTTCACCAACAACCTACACGGTGGCTGCGCCAGCACCCTAATAGATGCCCTGACTACAGTCCTTGTTTTGGCAGTTTCACAGCCTGGGTTCTACTCCGCTGGCGGTGTTAGTCGAAATCTCCGGGCCACATATTTTCGTGCAATTCCTCGAGGAACCGATGTACGACTCACTTGTTCTCTAATTCATGCTGCGAACAGCTTCGTGTTGCTGAGAGGTGAGGCATTTAAGGTAGACACCGGAGAGTTGTGTTTCGTCGGAGAGAACGAAAAGGTGAATACCGACTCCCGCTTGGCCGCCAAGCTATAAAGTGGGTGAGGTGAATCCCACGGACCTGTCTGAAGAGCAATTCAAGGATAAGAGCAAGATATCTGTCAAAGTCACGAACGGAGAGACTGGTCGGTATTGCCTCACATGCAAGATTGCGACTCTAGCGAACACCCATGCTAAATGCTTATTTGCGAATCAAAAGTCATTGTGCGAAGCAGGCAGGCTCAACTTTATTGCCCTTCTTGGCTGTAAGCAGGTACAAGCATTCTTATCACTGAAGTTACTGAAGTTACTGACCTTCCTCCGAGCCCGTGGAATTAAGCGATCTTAGCTGATCTTTATTGATAATTTAACAGGGGCATTTCTGAGCTTATCCTCCTAAGGAAGACATACATGCAGCTAGAAAAGCTAAGTTTAATCTGCTAAAAGAGTATGATAACTCAATGAGAAATACTGTGATTTCACAACAGCATTTCATAATTTAGAACCTGGAGACTCAGATGTAGGTAACAGAAGTAGAGGCTTAGTGTAAAGGAGTAAGTGGAAATAAGGTTACATTGTTACCTTGCATTGCGCCTCTGTATGATATCACCTATCTTACTCTGATCATCATGATTATAGGCTTGCTGGCTGGCATACAATGGCGGTTCGCTTACCGATTACGTTATAGATAAACTTTAACTTACTCTATTCTATACAGCACCACTAGGCTTTCACTGTCCACTAGGAAATAAGCAATGCTACTCCTCCGGTCAAGCATATACAGATAAAACTCCAGCACAATCCACATAGTTACCCCATTACAGGGGAGCAAGGTGAGATGAGCTAGTGAGAGAATTCTGAACACCACATATTCAAATTTGTTAATCAGTTGCCTGGCAAAGTCAGCCTTTCTCAGCCACGCGGGACGGGCTGATGAGGCAGGACATGGCACTGAGACAAATTCTCCTCTCCCAGCGGGCACTAGGACAGGTGCTGCTCTCCAGGCTGATACTAGCAGCGACAGCTCATAGCGGGTATTAGAGACAACGCCGATGAAAATCACCCGCAGGTATTAAGTGGGATACATAAGAATGTTCACCCTGCTTAACCAGCAACATCACCTTCCTGCAGAGTGGAATATTGGTTCAACCACACTTGGCTATGGCCATGATGGTGAAATTGGTGTCTTTGATCCTGCTGGTGCATATTTTCTACCATTTTGAGGCGCTGGTGCCCCAACCAATAGGTGCTTCGTGAATTCGCGAATGGAGTTTCGGATAGCCGCGCGCCTGGTAGGTCGATGGCTGATTTGCCGCTGAGACAAAACTTCTGGCACAGTGTGCACTTTATGGTGGGCTTGCATGAATCGATACGTGGCTACAACCCGTTCCTTACCTTTCTGACATCATCTAGGATGCCGAGAGGAAACACAGCTTTCCAGTTGGTGAAAGGGCATTTAATCCCAGCTTTGAAGGTTTTCGCTCAAGGGAAAATTTCCCATTTCATTGACCGAAGATTTCCTCGAATAAAGGACGGAATTTTCAAACATTGTTCAATTAAAGGACATCACATGAAAGCAAGAGCGAGCGCGCTGAGCATGCTCAGGCCAACCACAGTCCAGCCTGACTTGATCGCAGCAAGATTGGAGAGCCCAAGACCTAGATCCCATATCAAGTGACGAATGCCGTTAAAGCTATGGTAGGTGAATGGAAGGGCCATGATAGCTTTGAGCGAGACCTTCACAACAACAGGGAGCGCACCGAATGCGGCTACCATACTGGCTGAACCTAATTGCCACCCAAAAACGGGCGAGAGGACGTAAGCGGTAGCCCATAGGTAGAGAGTACCGGACAGGGCGACGCCAGTGATACGGTGTAGTGTTGAGCTGATCCAGCCAATCTGGGGTTTGATTATAGAAAGGTGGGGAGAAACAGGACGATTACGGCGCTGCTTAGCTAGGATCTTGGACGGGTTTTCGGTGTTCGAAGACGATGAAACAAGCCTAGATATTAGTTAGCCATACTGGGACGCTGATTCTCAGTCGAGAGCTGAAGTTATCCGGGTAGGCGAACCTGGTCTGAAGGCCCTTTCCAAGGGTAGATGATGCCTGCGAGGCGCGCATCATTACAGACGGCATGGAGAGCGACTGATGGACTAATGAGAGCAGGAGCCGGCAATTAACGCTGGTAATTTATCAGTAGTAGGAGATAGTAGTACATACACCGCCATAGGGCTTGGTTCATGATCTTTTGAGACAACATGGTGCGTCGATGTTGTTGTTTTTTCGTTGTGCTACACGGGAAGCAATGGTGTCAGAGATGACAAGAGACTCAAGCCAGTGAAGACTTCAAATTCAGTCTGCCAGCCTGGTTTCTCTGTAAAGAGCAGGGGCCACCAAAGAGACTATACTTCTAAGTGCCCGGAAATGCATAACTTTGGGCCTGACAGGTTCCGTATTACTAATTATCTCGGACGGGCGTGAAGTCGTCCTCCGACGTCTCCAAATACCCGCTTCTGCCGCGACAGACTGAAGCATGTTTATCTCCAATGAGCCTGAAATGTGTGAGCTATGGGCATTTTAAATTAAAATGAAATATTCCACCAGACGCCACTACTTGTAGACACAGCGGGTGCCTGGATAAAAAGCGGAGGGACGAAAAGAGACGAACAAACGAGTTGGAAGCATGCGTTGAAAGTGCGTGCAAAAATAATATCACGCAATAACAGAAAAAAATACTAGACAAATGATGTCGAGGGAAATAAGCAGAGTTGGAAAGGTGTCTCGATACGCCGGGTTTTGTATCCCTGTTAGCAAACATCCTAGCCTAGAATGAAATTCAACTCCCTAGCAATAGCAGGCGGGTGTCAAACAGATCATCAAAGATGGGGATCTCACCAGCATCATTAGCTGTATCGCCTCGTTGTCACCACCAAGGATGCTGATTTTGGTGGATTAGTTGTAACCGATGGTGCGTACTCCACATTGGGATATGCCTTTAAGCTCGCGGGAGGACCAGTCTCCTGGTCGTCTAAGAAACAGGGAGAAATCGCCACGTCTACTGCTCATGCCGAATATATCAGCTAATATAACGGGACTCTTATATCTCCAGTGGCTGCGCACTTTTTTGGACGAAACCAAATTCTACCGGTCACCGGTGATACGTGTTATGGCGGACAATCAATCTGCTATTGCCTTGTCTCGGAACCCAGAGTTACATAAACCTGAATTTTGCATATTCCGGTGCCGACAAGCAAAAGAGATACTAAGAAAGCAATAGAATTAGCTGTTTTATACACCAAGAATGCTGGTGCACAGTGAGTGTATTATAGCATTTCAGCCAGCTATCCCGTCTCAGTCAACTGAGTACAAGTGAGAAGCTGCAGGCCCTCGCTTTTGCAAAATCAGAAACATTCCCCATGAATATTATGTAAAGATGATTTGGGATACGTACATATTGTAGTACTTTCGTCTTGAGTATTGTACCGGCCATTTCTGAAGTGTATTATACTGGGTTTGAAAGTCCTTTTGTTGGCAATGGTGTTGTTACGGGTCCTTGCTGAAATAATCAGGGCAGGATACAGGGATGTTTACGACATGGTCACTTAATCTTGCCAAACGTAAGAAGTACTGTATAAATACTTAGTTAACACTGGTACAGTCAAAGCTGGCTGTAGAAAGGAGCCTCAAAGGTACTAGATGACGACTGTTTCATTTTCATTCGTATGTGGTTCGCTTCGCTTGCCGCTATTGTTTTGACAGTCTTTTAGCAACCTGGGCGCTTTTTGAGAAAAATTGAGCACTGAACACACCAATCACTGTCTTTCCTCTAATAATTCTAGTCTACAGTGACCCATTTGTGTATCGTGCGTTTTACTGTGCGCCTCAAGCGCCATACATCCGACTCATAGGCGTCGAGGTCAGAAGAGAGCCAACGACCGTTCACATGGCGGATTGAAATGGAGAACACGTTTACCAATTTGATTCCAAATAGACTAACGACAGCCGAAACATAGATGGAAAACATCAAAGAGGAACTTACCGTGAAGCTCCCAAAAGAATGATTATATAAAAGAGCGTACAGGGTGGAGGAAACGACGACCAAACCAGTTAAGAAAAATAGGTTGGTTTGTCAAAGCCTTTCCATGTGAATCACAGTACAGAAAATCAGGCCCTGCATAACTACAGAGCACCCATGCTTTTCAATTATACATTAATCTCATATTTCTTGTTGCGGAGGTTGGCTATATCACACCAACTTTCTCGTACCTCATTTACCACTGCTCATAAATCCAGGCGCCAGTAGGCTCATAGCAGTAGATATAATCAAGCTGCTGAGGGGGGATGATGATGTTTGATCCACGCTTGACCTGGTAATCGGGAGGGTGATTAGGGTGGTGGCTAAAGCAACATTAACAACAGTGGGAATGACTGGTAGGAATACTTCAAAGACTTACCGCCATAGCACACAATTGGCGGTGTTCTGGATGTCGGTCAAGACACCTCTACAGAGACTTGTCAGAGTGGGACATGGAAAACAAAGGTAATTCACATACGGGTGCTCTAACTTGGTCAGCTTCTCCGCCTCAATCTTCTCCTGGTAGAAATCTCCGTTTGAGGTGTAGGCGATCTATTTGATGCTGTTAGCTCTTATACCTCATTATAGGTCAGAAAGACGATGCGGTGTTGGCAAGAAGATGATGCTAACATACATTGATATCTGCTCCGATCACACCAGAGGTGAGAAGAGCAAGGGTAGTCGCTAAAAGAGAAGCCGATAACTGCATTTTGGACACTTTTGACCGCGGAAGCCTTGTTGAGTGATAGAGAGGAAACCAGATTGGAACGAGTTGACCAAAAAGCCAAGGGCGAAAGAGCTATTCATCTTTAAGTATCCTGCCGTAAGCTACCACCACGGGACCTTGCGGCACTTCTGTGTCTGCGAACAATATCAGTCGTGACCTCATTTCCTAGCAAGGTTTCTGAGTCGACTTTGCGATCCACATTCTGTAAACCATATAATGAAGTAATAAACTGCTTTTGGTCATTTGGAGTGACGGTGGTTGACTGACTCCAGCTGACCCAAGACTCTTGTAGAGTCATGATTCAATCGACTCACTGCTTGGCATGTTCTTTTGGACTTATTATTTCCACACAGGCTGAAAGATTGATGATTAGTTAAGAAAGATGCGGAACAGAGTCTAGTATTAGACAATGGCTCATAATATGGCAATGCGGTCTTTTGCAGCATGAACGTATATAGTATGTTAGCGGAAGATGCTCAAATCAAGGGGAAACGAGGCTGCCGTTGTAAGTTTCTTTCCAGATTCACGAGAGTCACCGATCTCGATGACGCGTTCAATATCTAGGTTTGGTCAGGCAACGAACCTTCGGCCTGAGTTAAGATGCGCCCTAAAGCCGGTCTGGGAGAAATTATGTCATTTATTGACCATATAATCTACAAAAGGATGTGGAGCTTGATATTGCTTTGCTTGTGGCTTTTTATTTTGACTGTTTACAGCAAGCGAAGGCTAAGGCATCATAGTCATGCATTTCCCAGTGACGCTATAGTTGACCAGGTTGCATAGCCTGAGAATTTTTGATAAATGTGCTCTGGCCAGGGATGTGTCGTGTATTCTTAGAACTACTTACCGTTCTACGTAAACACTCGGTTAACCCGGAAAGTTATCATGACGAGTTGGATCGACCAGTCAGATGGAAAATCTGTCATATTTCAACACTGCCAATTAGCAGAGGTTTTACGCTGTTTGATATAAATACTACCTTTGTTAGATATAACGCCAGAAATTAGATCTTGATATCTTTGTAATCCATGTATATGCGTTTACCGTCCATTCGCTGTTAGTGCGGAACGGCTGACAAGGTGTTCGGAGTCCACCTTTATGAGTATGTTACGGAGCTTCAGCCTTAATGGCTGTGGGTCCACATCCCGGCCTTCCCGCGGCCACCTTTCTTGGTACAACACCTATAACAGGGGCAATAGTGCAGGGCGGGACGCAATCGCGGAGCCACGACAACCAACCAACTCCTAGATTATGAAGCCCCGCTATACACCGCTGTACAAGAATAACCTTGGTCATAGCATCTTGCCATCGTGCCTTGCATTAAAATCTGGTAATAAAATGCTTAATACTCCAATACACGGATACTGGTTCCATACAAAATTTCGTATATTAGATCATATTTTTTCTCGAAACGGTAAAAGCGAACATGTACAGCAATTCCAAATAGCCAGAAGGCTGCTCGTCACGCTCAGCATCATCTCAAACATTACCACTCGCATAGCCAGCTTCAGAAATGGTGTGAAGAGGCTAATAAGCAGAAGATCAACCTCTATCTCGCTGGTCTTATCAAAATATTGTGTAGGGAGCCTAAATAGTGGCAAGTTGCGACAACAGACCCTCCCGGTTGTTTGTGATTGCATAGTCTTTTCATTGTTTTGTCAGATTGCAGATCATCATTGTGACTTTATTTAAACTGCATGTACCATCTCCAATACAGAAAGAGTGTTATGAACAAAGAACCACGGCCTTAAAGCCTCGCTTCAGCCAGTCTCACATAACAATGCACTGGTTTGTGAACAACTCCATCATACCCTCTATACCCAGAGAGCCTCTTGGGGCAATGCTGAAGTTCGAAATTCCATATTATGAGGACGAGAAGTAGCCTTAGCTCCAGATAAGCCAGCCGCCGCCCAAAGCATCCACGGACACCCCCGCCAAATGGCAATGTCGGTGCCGCCGTGGAGTCAAACACAATGCTTTCACCAACCTGGTCCTCCTCGGTTCGTATGAGCCACCTTCGAGGTTCAAAGGTGCCCAATTCATATCCGTTATCTTTCATTTCTGCGTCTCGGAACGTCGGACTGCGCTGTTCTTTATCGATCTGAAACGGGGGCGAGAAAAAGCTCCGGCTCGTAGTTAAGAAAAATACCGCAGTGCCTTTTGGGATGCGGTGACCCAGCAAGGTCGTATCACGGGTAGCCTGTCGATCAATAGCAGGGACGGTAGGAGCACAGCGCAAAATCTCTTCTATACATGCATCGAGGTAGGGAATCTGCGTGTGCGTGATCTCATCCAATGTCGGCTGACGTCTCTCTTTCACAGCGTCGGAGTAGCCCGAACGGAGAGCTGTTCTTAAAGATGATTGTGCGTCGGAATGATCGGCCAAAAATTTGACGCCCCATGAGACGGTTGTGCTAGTGGTGTCATGGCCAGCGACGACGAACCCAAATACCTATAGACGAGTTTAGCTTACAAGCTGGCCAGTCCTCGTTATTGCAAGTCTGGTAACGCACCTCGTCTCGCATAGCATCGGTCAAGAAGCTGGGTGCACGCGCCTCCTTTTCCGCGAATCTGTTTTCCCGATCTACTATATGATCGACAGCAGACCGGACCCATGAATCATCGGTTTTCGGCCTGGTCAATAGCGTGTTGGCGGCCTTCTTCACTTCTCCCATGATGAAATCGTTTTTTACGCGAACCGCATGCGCCAAGGGGGGAAGTTTAGTGAGCACTTTCCAATGGAGTAATGGAAAGATTGAAGATTTGGTACGTGCCATCGCATCAGTTAGATTTACCATTGCACGGATAGCTTCGTGCACTTTGGCTTGCGAGAAGTTCACCGGCTCTTCGGTGGATGAGGCTTTGCCAGAGTTTTCCTTCATGGCTTCTGCTTGCGTACTTATGAGCTCAAGCTGAGGACCGGTAGCACTATGAGGGAAGCTCGAGCCGAAGGAAAACGCCAAGACAGCGTCAAGAGCAGCAAAGTGAATATCATCCGCTGCGGAAAACGGTCTCCCATCTGCAATAGAGCACTTGGCTTTCCATAGGTCAATCAATCTGAGGGTGGAAGAGTAGATTGCAGGTGCAGCCACATTGTTTAGGAATCGGGGGACCATAAGGTCTTGCAGCAGCCTCCGATGGGATTTCCACCTGGCGTTCGTTTTCATGTGTAAGTGAAAATTGGGGACCAGGCCTCCAAACATCTCATAAGCCATGTCTGTTCGATCAAAGTCGTCCTTGCGATGTAAGAGAATGTCCTGAATTTCCCGAAAGTCACTCAAAATCACAAACGGTTTAGAAAACGGACGCATGAAGACCTGGGCAACCGGCGAGTTGAAGCTTTCTGCTTTCTTTTTAAGCCAACTATTGAAGTTTCTCGTCCTAGAGACCTCCGCTGCCAATTCGGGCACATCGCCGAGTAGATTCTGCGTGGCAGCAACGCTGAATGGAATACCCACGATAGGCTTCGGCAGAAGCCATTGATAGAAAAGATACAAGGCCAAGACGCACGAGATACCAGAGCTCCATCCTGTAAACAGGAGAGCTAATGTTCGAATCAAGAGCTGGGGTACCATGCTGCTTGTCGGAGTAAAATTTGGTATAAGCTCATTGAAATCATCTGGGGGATTCTTCACACTGACCTGTTGACCGGGCTTGTGGACTGGGTATGAATGTGCTACTGCAGACTTTCACATAGACCGGAGTCGGATGAAGGATGAAAGGGTTGCGAGGGAGTCCCTTTTCGCTATCCTTCAGAGATTCATACCTAGTCCTCCTTATATGCGCTTCCACGTTCCAGTGCCGATGCTGGGGCTGATGTAATTTCGAGGTTTCGGAATCTTCTCGGGGGCTCATTCGGAGAACGCCATAGCCTTCCGAAGATCAAGTCAGGAACTTGGACGCAAAAAAGAGCTGCTCTTGGCCCCAGTTGCTCAGTCTCTAGTCAACCCATCATCATTTTCGGCCACAACACTTGCCGACGTCCGCTCAGGTCCGTTTAGAGATGCGCGGCTGGGGATACAATGAACGCCGCTCCATGTAATCACGTCATAGCATTGTGAGACTGTTCCAGTTCATGAGGCTGCTGGGCCGTCTTCCTGTAAATTTAACAAGGGGGTGAAGACATGTTTATGTCTCTATGTTTGATCGCCTGGCTTGGTTATAACAATCAATTTGGTATTACGATAATGGCGGCCGCTGGTCGGTTTCCTGCTCTGCTTCTTGGCCCTGCTGCTATACATAGCAAGATTATTGTTACATGTTGGTCTTTGGCAGATCAGTCACTCCGAAGCCAAAAAACTCTTGATGATTCTTTGTTATCATGGTATGGATACCCGCGACCCGGTACGTTGTACTAGACGTATCGGAGACGTATCGGCTGCGTATCGGAGCGGCGCCACGCCCGTTTCCGTTTCACGCCGCTTTCCTGGTGCAACATTTGCAGGGCCGTGACTACTCACTCCAAGTCTTGACACCCTCGAGTTTCTTCGCGATGAGCGCAGTGAGTTCGCCGGCAGCCGCTTTATGTTTCTTGGTGCGTGGAGCTAACTATATATATTCCAAGTGCGATCTTTGCTATTCCAGAAAAGTAAGTGATTTTGAGGACATAATGTGTTCATCTTTCTCGCTTATTGTTTGGACCTGCTTATGTTGGCCGTCGAGTTTCAACAGATTAGGTGTGATCGATTGGAACCCTGTCAAAGCTGCATTCTAGCGAAAGTAGCTTGTCGGCGTAACCGTACACGACGGGTTCGAAACTCCAACGCTCATCCGTATGGATAATCAGAGCGCCCTACGTCGGGGTATTGGCTGACGTTTCCTGAATGAGATAGTGACACCACCGCGCTCAGGGACCGCGTCGCCCGTCTGGAAGATACCCTGCGGCAGGACCTTCTGCAGACGGCTGTCAGACCATGTGTAGCCCACCAGAGCCTGCCAAGCGACACCCAAGATGACAGTCCACAGGGGGTTGGACCCAAGCAAACCTTGCAGAAGATCCCTGGGCCGGGACAGCCCTCAAATCCGTCTCCGAATTTATCTCTTCCCGAGAATAAAGCACGCGACTTCATCCAAAAGGAACTATCCAATGGCGGCCACCTTTCATATCGACAAAGGATGACCCTAGAGGCATCCTTGTCCCTCGTTGAGAAGTTGTCTAAGGGTTCATCTGATGGCGTAGAACCGGTGAATCTTCAAGAATACACAAGGGCTGAAGGATACAGGCTCACACATGCAGAGATCCTGCATATAATCATGGCGAGTATGTTTTTGACTGTCCAGATAGTAAGAATTGCCAGGAAACTCACACTAGACAGGTAAGTCATACAAGAATGACTCCCTCCGCCCTAAGTGGTTAGTCCGATTTCCGGATTTCCTATCTGCAGAGGCGATCGAACGAATGGGCCTTGCTTTGCTCAATGACACATTGGATGAGCAGATCGCCTTGCAATACAGGGTTATACTCCTGTTCAAGGGAGCCATCATCCACCTTGTTCACCAAGTCATGGATATAAACGCCCATGCCGATCTTGACAGGCACCTAAACGACGTCATGTTCCATCGTCTTCATGCCGCATTGGCGGCCATAGGTGAGATCCGTTTTTTGACGGCGCCATCTCTGTCTTTACTACAAGCTCTTCTCTGCGGGGTAAGCTAAGAATAATTATGAGTATTTATTGCTGGCTAAGAGATCTTATGCAGGCTCTGGCTATGCGAGCACTGGGCAATCCCATAGGCTGTTCAACAATCACGGCCTCCGCATCTCGCACGTTGGTAGCGCTGGGATACCACAACCTCACTCAATTCAGCTCGGACCCTAAGGTGAATGAGGAAGTGCGTGCAACTGTTTCATGGTGCTATATACTCGATAAAAACCTGGCTTTGCTGCTTTTTCGGCCACAAGCGCTTCCACCACTCCAGATTCCGGTCCAGTCACTGACGACACCTGGTACCTCTGGGAGTGAGGAAAACCTCACCCCGCTTTTTCTGGAACTGGCTCAGGCGCAAGAGACTGCCTTAAATTTGGTAGCAGTTTCTGAACAACATGCAAATGGGTGGCTTATTACAGGTATAAGTTCCATTCGGCGTGATATGGCGAATCTTTATCGAAAAATTCTCAATGTAGGTACTCATATCTGGGGAGAAAGGATATCGCTACTTACCGCGAATAAGGGAGTACGATCCCAACTCGACTATCAACCAGCATCCAGGCTCTCATGGGCATTTCTCCAGCTGAACTTCTGTTCTGTGATGGCTTCAATTCTCAGGCTTTGTCCCAGCATAACATCTAACCTACAACTTCAAGACGAATGTGTCCACTGGGCCCGAGAAGCCCTTCAGACACTACTCAACCTTCGTTTTTCTGCCCCTGAGAGATGCCATCACTTGTATACTTCTTGGTAAGATTGACTAGTGAGGTATCCGTTTCTTACCCTAACTAAGCCCATACTGTTCTAGGTCATTATCCTCTTACCCTTTATGTCCAATATTCATCGTTTTCTGCAACGTTATCCGGACTGGTAATGCTCAAGACTTTTTCCTCTTGCAAAGATTGAACACGGATCTTACCGCCTTACGCGATACCAACGCTTTCATGAACCGGTTACGAAACTTGCATGCGACTCTTGTCAAGCTGTGCGAACCACTTGTCCATTCACCCCCTGAAACAAGTTCTGTGGCCCCAGTGGTAGCCCAAGAAGTCTCATGTAGTACTTCCCAGGCGATAGATGAGCCACAAGGTTCCATCAATCACCCCACCGGCGGTTCTCCTGCAGGAAACGAGTGCCCAGATGGCCCGGTGCAGCTAGAATCTGTCAGTCAGGATTTTGCTCCAGACACATATGGTAGCTTCTTTGACCAAGACATGATGGGGCGCTTGTTTAGCTCTAATCCAACAGCCGAGTGGATTAATACGGACGCACTTGATTTCGTTCTTGATTTCGGCCTTTAATCCCCTATCTCCTAACATAGAGTTCAACAAAAATGCACTTTCTATAAACCTTTCCTTTATTCGATTAGTAACGATTCCCAAAATGAGGCTACAGGAGAGCTTCACCCCACTAGGGGAAGAATACTTGTGTTGGTGGACGGAAGATGGATTTGGATCACCAATTTTAGCCCAGTACTTCCCCGTGACAGCTGCCAGGGCGCAGAATCCTATAGTTATGCTAGATGTTTAAGGCTGTGCGGGCGCGTGCTACCATCCTAGGTTTGAACAGCTGAATGCGTCTAAAACGTCGTGTAGAGTCCCCAGAAAGAGAAACGTTGATGTTCTGTACGAACTTGGCTTCCGTGGAATCATTCGCTCGAGACTAATGCTCTTGAAATCAACCTCCTCCTGATAAACTCTGAAATTGAATTGTTACAATTATCTCTTCGTGCTCCAGTAGATTTGGTGGGCTAGTTCAGGGCAAAGCCACTGGCTATCCCCCCAATACCTGGATGGACAATAGAGACTAGAGACTCCCCGTAAATATAGGATAGACACCAGCGAATCGACATCTACGGCACGAAGCCTTTACAGAGGACAACAGCGCCAGTTGTGGTCGAATATTACCTATGATATGATGGATGTGATGTCTCCATATGTGAAGGCCCAGGCCGTTCATGATCACGCCGCGTATAGCAGACATTACCGTGAATGAGCCTGGGTGGCGCAAATCAAGAGCAGGGCGTCATACTTCCGCACACCTGGTAGCCACCCACCGGGGAATTGATAAAGCAGAAGCCACAAGCCGGCCAGTTAGTCAAGAGTCAAAGCACGAATCGACGATCGAATGTGGTGAGATTGAGTCGATTGACCCTGCTCATGTGTGATACATGTCAACACGAACTCACTGAAAATGCAGCCTGCTGTAGAGGGTCTCCGATGCTCCACCGGCAGTTGTTGCTTCATTTCAGGGACCCGGAAATTTCTAACAAAATTTACATATCTTCTTTGTACTATCGCCTAATTAGGTTAGACTAGGCTGCAATACTTGGGCACTAATTGACCACTACATATAAAGGATGCCCGCACCCCAGGAATACCAAACCTCCACGTAAAGCTGAATATGTCCAGCTTGTCACAGTCTGCCCTCCCATACAGTGGCTCCTGCCACTGTGGGTTCATCCAATATGTGGCAGTAATCCCCTTGCCACCAGCCAAGGCGCTGGACCCCCACCAATCGACGCCGTCGGGCGCGCGATTCTACAAGTGCAACTGCACGACCTGCCAAAAAATGGGTTACTTTCATATGCGCCTCCCAGACGCAGCGAATCAGTTTTTCGTCCTCTCTCCGTCTGACCTTGAATTAATGGGTGACTATCGCTGTGGCAGCGGTCGTGTGCAGTGGTTCTTTTGTCCTAAATGCGGGGTGCGGTGCTTCGCGACTGCAGGGCCGTGGATAAAGGATGAGATCGGCAGGGACCTGGTGGAAAAGGCGCGTTCACCGGAGACTTTTGAAGGGAGAGATAGGCTATCTGTGTGGAGGATGGATCCGGCTTTGTACCAGGAGCACCAGACGGGGTATGTGAGTGTCAATGCGCTCACCATTGACCAGGACCAGCCGCATGAACAGAGTCTGGATCTAAGGCAGTTGGTCGACCAGAAAGTGGTTGAGTATATGGATTGCAAGGAGAGGAAAGGGGAGAAGAGATACACCTATCCTCATGAAGGGGGAACGTGGTGAGACAAGACTGTTCCTACCTGAATAAGAGGGTTTGCTATATAAGATCTGGTGGCTGGTCCGAGTAGGGCTCGTTGCACCACTGCAGGCTCTAGCACAGGCACTTGATGCTAGAGAGGAATAGTCGCTAACGCAACTACCTGAAGAGGAATTGACAGCTTTAGTAAGCCAATAGAGGTCAATGTAACCGAGCTGTGACCCTAAGGTTAAGCTGTAGAGATGTAGAAAGTTAATTCTGAGCAGTGCGGTGATCAAGTGGCTCTGTATATGCCAAAAACAACACCCATGATCAACCGAGCTGCAGTAATAGTCATTTTGCTCAGGTAATTATACAAAACAACCGCCTTAAGAATCAGTTGGTCCACCTGGTTGTGGCCTAACAAAGTCTACTCATAACAATCTTGAATAATTTATATCTGTTGTTGACTCTGAGGAAATTGAATTGCGCCACTTTTTTCTCTTGTGGATGCACTTTGTATTAGCCAGCCTGATGAATCATATAGGATGCACCTACGCTGTAGTCGTCAAATCCACCTCTCCGCCGAGAGTTCTTGCACCGCTGACCTCTCTGTTCTGAATGATATAAATGCGGTTGGTATATTCCGTGGTTTACGTGGATGGTTAATGTCTCTCTTCGCGCTTGTCGTGTGTATGGATTCATCCAATGGTGATTGGTCCATTTCAATCGTATTTCAGCTTCTACCGTGGAGAAACTGTGCACATTAGGTATGAAGGCCATGCATAAGACGTAGCGAAACGCAGATTGTGATTTGAAAATGGAAAATACTATCAACGCACACTTGATAAAATATCAATCTGGAGAGATATATGTTTTCAAAACAATGGAGCAACATGTCAACAAGAAAAAACAATTGGATCGGTTAAGCGATACAAGGATCGAACCGAAGGTTGAGACAGATCGCAGTGCATGTTGAAGTACACAGTAATCTCTTGATGCTCGACTCACTCGATGTTACTCCGGATCTATCGGGCATCAGAGGCAGTCTCAACTTCCACTTCCTCTTGATTCAGGCAGTAGCTGCTGGCGTGCTTCACGAACGCCAGAAGCCGTTGGCGACGGTAGTAGATATTTGCCAAGTCCACGCGGGCACCGGCTTCGGCGTCATTCTGTCCCGTGATCAGGATCAACATGAAGAAAGTCTCAATAATACTAGGGGGCACGTTCGAGATCAGCTGTCCGGTCAGACTCCAGCGCAAGGCGCTTGATGCAATCACACAGCCGATAGTCAGCAAGAAACCAGCGACGACCATGAGAAGATGAGAGCTGATGGCATCCATCTTGCGGGAGATCCGACGAGTCACAGAGAGAACCTTCCGATCATCCACAACAGGGATGGGCACGGACAATCCAGCGAACAGTTCCTTGTCGAGAGCTTCTACATGGCGGACTTGATTCTTAGTGTTCTGATGAACCTTGTTTTGAACATTACGGAGAACGAAACTGTCGAAGAGACCAACCAGCCCGGCATAGGTGCCAATGAGTAGCCACCAAGAGTTGCTGAACTGGAAGACAGGTCCGACGGCTGCCCAGGTGATGATCACTGCAATCAGGAATAAAATTCCAACGAGCGTGCCAACAATATCGGCGTAGTAGTAGATCACCTTCTGCAGGTAGTTCTCCCTAGGCGGAATATCGAGCATGGTGATATTGGGTTCGTCGTCCTCGCTAAGCCGACGGAGTCCACTTTCGAGGGTGGAGTCCAGGCGGAAGATCGCATCCAAACAAATATTGGTATAGTCGGCATAGCATTCACGCAAGCACGCGAGGAAGGCAAAAACTAGAACCATCAGAGCCGAAGTTGCGTCGTTAATGTACAGCTGCCAACGGTCCGACCAGCCGCACGTGGGACCAAAGCCAACCCAGATAAATATGCACACCCAATACATGCCGACGGTGATGATGTGACCGAGCCTCTTGGCGGTGTAGATGATGCAACGGGCGAATAGGGTCTGGGCGCGGGAGCCATGATCCAGTGGTTGCAATGGCTCGTTTTGGCACTTTTCCGAAACTTGGTGAATCCCTTCTGCGCCCAGTTTATTCTTGACTTTGAGAAGCATGCGATAGTGACTGTTGCAACGCGACTGGAGTTTGACCATGGCTTTGCGCTGTTCAGTGAATTCGCGGAGTAGCTGGCGCATCAGCAGAGAATCGAAGACATAACACAGGATCGCCTGGACGTCAGAAATGGCAGCCACCCAGACATCCGAGTTGCCGAAGCGAATGCCCATCAAAGCCCAGGCCAAGAGGCCACCCAGGATAAACAGGAACACAGGAGCTGAACCGGCGAATCTCACCACAGCATCGAGCCAGCGGTCCACCAGACGCGAACTTGCATCAACCCTGTATGCCGAGAACTTTTCCGAAGCCACGACGATCTCGATATCATCCTTGGCATTCGTTACACTTGCGACTTGTTGCGTTTCCGCTGCCTCTTTCACCTCACATAGAAAAATGGGCTTGAAAGTCTTCATGATGACTCGCTGAGTAACTGGTAGTCGGATGTTAGACTCAGTACGAAGCAATTGAGCAGCGAGAGGTTTGCGTCAAGCCTAATTGGAGACACTTTGTGGACAAGTTAAGATGGTTGGGTCTCGTCTGCAGATACACGAGAGGACTGCAGGACAGCCAGAATGCCGGCTCGAGAGAAAGCAATGATGCAAGAACTGTTCATCGGGCATGGAAGAGCCATCCAGAGTCAATGGTAGGAACTGGGGGTTGTCAGCGTGAGAGCGTTTGGGAAAAGAGAAAGATGGATTGGTGCTGTGGTATAAGCAACTGGGAGAAAGGAGAAGTGAAGACAACGAAGAGAAAGAAAGAGGCGTGGGAAGAGTCCCAAATTTGTAGATTCCCGTTCCAGAAGGTGGTGGAGAAACTACCGGGGCAAAAAGCAGGAAAACAAATATGCTGCAGCCTTAAGAAATGCCCCGATGCCGATTTTAGATACCTCATGGGTGGACTTGATTCAGTCTGCAAGTCTGCAACTGATATGATGCGCCATTTTTGAACCAGTTTGTAGGCTAATCTGGTCCACAAGTTCAATACATCTTCAAGGCCCACTTCGCATCCTCGCAGGGTGGTCCTTCGAATTGGAAAAGAAGCATAGTGGAGACCGCAGCGGAAATGACAGCCGTAATGCCTGAGCTGCACAGAAAGCCTCCAGATGTCTGTATCACTCCGTTGCTTCCCGAATGGAATTCGGGCAGAGCCAATGCGGCGACAGTGACTCTTCAACGACACGACGGTGGTACTCCAAAAGGTACTCAATCCAAAAGCGACTGGGAGTGCCCATCTATCATAGTACTCTACGGTCAAGCAGAAAATGTCTTGCCAGGAGGTGGAGTTTCTCAAGCCAAGACACCAGGAGTGCTGCAAGCCAAATTAACAAGTTTATAGTTACGGCTTATTTTCCCAGAATTCGTCTAAACTGCCTATTAGAGGGATATTTTTCTTGCTACCGCGTTAACTGCGGCAACGAGCCTGATAACTCCATTCTAGTCCCTGAGATACGTACTCGGTACGGTACTGGGGTCTCTGACACGCTTAACATAGAAATCAATATCTCCCACTCCCAATCATGATGCAAGAATGATAGCGGAAGAAGGGTCTTATGCTGAGTTTCAGCCGCTGTTCTTCATCCTTAAAGAATACCATAATCTCCAACTTGCAGCGAATCGGACTTCTCCTCGCGCGCAGCTTTTTATATGCTATAATTGGATTGAGATTCCTACATATCAGCTGTTTCAGCCAACCAAACGTATCTGCTTTTGAAATGGAAGACATTGACTCACCAGAATCAAGGATCGGTAGGCATCCAGTAACCTTGACTGAAATATAGCCTGCTCTGGCCTACTTTTCCCTAGGATAAGGTTTAATTATCCTTGGCATAGACAATCTTCTTGGCCGTTCCATCCCAGCCTTTGTCAATATAGTTGCCTTGGGATATATTGAACATTTTTACCGATTTCTTCGGATCCGATAGATCCGATTCATCTCCGGCCAAGCAAACCACAAGGTGTCTTTTTGGTGGAGTTGCAAGGGGACCCGCACCCATATGGCATGACATCAACGGATCAAAAATGTCACACCGGGTGTATGTCGTTGTCTTTATTGGCATTATATGCACAGCGTGCAAGGCATTATCGGGCGCGCAGCAAAGCTGGAGATGAGAACGCCTCAGGCCAATCTACACCAGCTACTACAGTTGCTAAGCTCTGTTTCTTATCCTAATTCCTAAATAGGTGTGGGCTGCTAAGTGGTCGGTCCTCCAGTATTGTAAAGTACTGTTATATCTAACATGCATTGCCCTAATAAGAAACATTGAAAGAGTTTACTAGGATCAGCAGTGCAGATTCTGTTAGAGATGCTCACGAAGGTATGTATATTTAGCTAGGCATGGATTATGCAGGGGAATTAATATTATAAATAGAATTTTCTCTTTAACCTACTATTAGAGTTGCAGTGGTCCGAGTTCGGGCGAGTTCAAACCCAGACCTTGGCACCAAACTGCTCCGATTTCGAGTCTAAATTTTAGAAATCGGAACCAACCCTGACCCATTCCAATTTTTCTGCGAGTTTCACCGCAAAAAACTGCTACTAGGCCTAGAAAGGCCTAACTAAGCCCTTACTAACCAATTATGGTAGTTGGTTCGATTTAGGTCGGATAAATGGTTAAATTCTAATGGTTTTTAGAATTCAATTTCTCCGATCTTAGGCCTATGCTAAGGGCCTATTAAATATACCTATAGAAAATTGATATATTTATATAAAATATATAGTGATTATAGTGATTTTGATCTATATCTAAATTTCGATTCGATATCTATAGGGTTGAATGAGTGGTGGTTAGATAATCATTCTAAAGATATAGTAATTGTCAAGGGTTAATGCATATATACATTTGAACTACTACCACTTTCATACCAAGTACCAACCCATGACAGAAATGATTATTCCCTTATATCTCAGCAACCACTAAATTTTTGAATTGATATCTATATTTAGATAGACTAGATACTAGGCTATGTAGTGATATTAATATTTCTAGAGATATCCTTGAAATTAGTGATTATTAAGCATGCTGGAAGGCCCAGAGGAAGTTAGTCACTGATATCTTTCACACCAGAAGATGCTGAAATTATGGCACAGGTTGGTCATTGGCCCTAGCAAAATTCTGCTAATCACACCTAGGTGTCAATTGAGGATCTCTGGTCGCATTTCAATGTCTTAAGCTAGATGAGGTACCATAGTATCACGCCACTGTCTAGATAAACGACTGTGCAATTCGCATGCAAACTTCTATGAAATTGAATCATAGAGCGCTCCCTAGAGAAAACATATTCCAGATCCTGGGAGAACAGCCATTTTATAGAATCATATATCTTTTGACAGAGCGGAAAGTTAGAGCCTGATATGCACCTATTTTAGAAGCTAAGCGGATATACTGACGCATGCAGACTCTCCCATTCGGCTTGTAGTATGACTTGGAAAGAAAACTAATAACAACATTTGTCTAGTTCAGGGTGCATGCTATTCAAGATCACCTCCGTCAACTTCCACACTCTTAACCACGGAGGGGCCTATCACACATTACATACGCGATCAGACCCTGAAGTGCACGCATCCGATAGAAATTGGGAATAACTGAATGCCTATAATCGGGGCTTGTGGTCACGCCGCTTACAGATGACTTTATTATGGTCATTAGATTGGATACGTACTGGTTTGTTGACTATTTTCTAGAACTCCTATATCCGCCTCTGAGACATGCCCCACTCTGGTACAAGACCACAAGTTGATGTGTATATGATCAAGAGGTGGACTTCTTGAGGTAGCTTTTTGCATGTCAGATAGCTAGCGCAGATAAGTTGCAGGGATACATACGCGATCAGGTCGCTCCTCTCATTGCCCTTCTTAAGACCAGCAAAGGCCATCTTGTTACCAGGCATGAACTTCTTTGGGTTCTCGAGAAAGCCGAACTGGACAGAATGCGTTAGCAACAACACACATTATGACCTGCAAGAGTATACCAGAGTGTCCTCATTCCACGTAATGCCGGCGTTTTTGTTGGCATCACTGTAGCTAAAGCCGGGAACTGAACCCGATTTGCGGCCGAACAAACCATGAAGATTGGGGCCTGTGCCGTTATTGCCGGCTGCCTCAACAGTGTGACACTGCTTACATCTTTTCTACAACATAAAGTTACAATCACAAGTCAGGACAACATGATAGAATGTTAAGGATTTACGTACCTTGAAGATGTCAGCACCCTTGTTAGCGTCACCTGGTAATATCCTAATGTTAACTGTTGTTTCGCCTTTTTGCCACTCTTAGTCCGGCTTCGCGCGTGTCGATGTCATGAGGTGGGACAAAAGTGTCGATGTTTTTTTATTGATTCTCAGACTGCGCTTGTAATAAAGTACTTAAAGTGTAGATAACTAGATGCAACACGCAATGCCAATTAACGTTTGCTACTACTTGTATGTAGCAATATTTAAGGCTTCAACGGAAGTTCGAGAGTGATCAGGAATATCCTCAGCCACTGCGACCGCCAGTTTTCGGATTGACGTCTTTGGGGCAGGCCGCAGGCCAGCGCGAGCGTTGGAGAGAGCGGCAGCAAAGAACGAAAGATTAAGCTTACCGGGAGTGAGAACCATTGCATGTACAAGCGGAATAAAGTTGGGATGATAACAGATCAATAAACAAATTTCCGAAAAGTAGGATCATACAGAAAGAGTATTGAGATTGAACTAGGTAGTACTCACCCTTTATTGTCAGTGTGATAATTGGAGGCTAGGTATTCCTGCGTCGCTTGATAAATAGTCATCAACCAGCATGAACACGTATCTTTTCCAATACCAATCCCTAGCTCAGTTTTTCATTTTTGGGCAATTCCAAAGACCTAAGCTGCAGTGATTGGCCCTTTGTCCTCTTTGTAGTGCGATAATGGCACTAAAATGGACTCCAAGCGATATGAAGACATTAGTTGAACTATACCTCCAAAATATGCAGGACAGCGAAAGCAATATTTATGCACCACTATTTGGTCTTTACACATTAACTGCTATTCCCCTCAGTGTATGAAGCCTCCCTACGGCTGAGAAATTATACCAAACACAGTGATTTGGCTATGCAATGCTCCTAGTCTGGTGCACAGACCTTTCATTTGATAGTGTCTGCTGACCCCACATCAGCACGCACATTTGCTCAGCAAGCCTATATAAAAGTGATTTTTCCACAGTCGCCGAAGAAGTAGACAAATACAGATTTCACGCAGCGTGTTATCTATGACTAGTTTACTTACTTTAAGAGACTACTGGGTGATGTTGTATTTACTGATGTCTAATCACCATATCAAGTAATATCATGCATTTTCAAACATTCCATTAGACCCACACAACTTTGTTACTTTTAGCTCCCTGAAAGTTATTTCAGCACCAGATAGCTACATGCGATGTGAATACTTTGAGTTTTATGGATTATATTGACAGATACGTGAAATACTTAAGAATGAGACAGAGGCCCCAAGACCCTTACTATGATCAGGATGGGTGGGAGCGAAAAGAAATATCTGTAAGATGTGCCTGGCGACGATATAAGACAACAGCTGACCAGGACCACATATATATGTCGGCTTGGTTCCCCGGTTGTCAGAATACAGTGGGGTGCAAAAAGTATTGGACCACCTTTCCTTACCACCTACTATTAGCCAAACCCAAATTAGGAAGGAGAAAATTGATTCCATTCTAATATTTTGTATACCAACAATCTGCCTTGATAACTGCCTTCATCTGGTTAGGTATGGTCCTTGATAGCTTTTGAAGAATAGTAGTGTCTGTAGCTTGCCATGCCTCCTTAGCTACAAGGATAAGCAATTAATATGTTTCCTTAGTATTAGGTGCATCTTCTAGTTCTAAATAAAGCATATAGATCTTCTCCATGAGCAACCAGAGATTCTTGAATATATTAAGATCAGGAGAGTATAGAGGCTAAACTATAACTTCAATCAATAAGGAATCAAGCACCTCTCTTATAATTCTTGCAGTATAGACTAAGGCATTATCTTACAAGAAGATATCACTAGGCTTAATAAACTCAGGAAGCCATGCTTAATAAATATCTTATATAACTCTATCTATAACCCCCCTTATGCAGATTCTAGATCACCATCCAAGGGACTAAGCCTGTATATATCTCTTTACGAAAGCCTGCCTAAAATATCTCTTCAACATATTTCCCTGTCCATTAAGTACAGATATTATGTTTAAGGAGTCAATTTCTTAGTTATCTGAATGTCTAGATTAGTCAGATACTAAGACCTCTCTTAACTAAGCACATATCACTCCATTTAACATGTGCCTAATCTTCTGGTGTAAAGTGTTGATATTAATTTACCCAGTTAAGCTAAAGCTTGCTATATAGTAAGAACTGGTTGATGAAGCTATCTCAATTTATGAAGACTAAGTTCTTAAAGGAGATAATGATATTATAATGCCCTCTCTTTCATAGCAGTATCTATCTTAGTAAGAAGATCTTGCATCTGTAGATGAAGAGAATACTAACTAAGATTATAGAGATGATAGGGGTCGGTTATTCGGAATTCGCCATACCTTCCTGTGAGATGGATATTTTCTTACTACAGCAAAATTGAGTTCCCTCCATATCGAATGTTTCAGCCACGACGTATCTGCTTCCGAAATGGGAGACCGTTAACCGGAATCAAGGACCAGATCCAGTAAACTTTCACTAAAATATAGATCTCTAGCCTACTTTTCCTAAGATAAGGTTTAATTGTCCTTGGCGTAGACAACCGTTTGGCCGTTCCATTCTAGCCTTTGTTAATGTGGTTGCCTTGAGATATATTAACCATTCTTACCATCGGATCCGATAGATCCGATTCATCTCCGGCGAAGCAAACCACACGGTGCCTTTTTGGTGGAGTTGTGAGCGGACCTGCAGACCTATATGACACGACATCTATGTGCTGCGTGCAAGAAATTATGGCGCGGATCCTGTCGGGGAAGGCTTGTTGATTTGCCCGGATCGTCGGCCGTGGCGGCTAACTAACATTACGCAGAAAGTCATTGGTCAAGACATTTATCTGTCACCATTTACTTGGTCCATACCGGGGAGACGGAGTGAGTCCATTTGTTTCCAATCAAGGGCGTCTCCAATCGTAATAAGTGGGGAGATACACACAACGAACATCTAGTTATCCGTCCGTCCGAGGCTACCTTGGAGGAAATGGGGCAAAATAGGCGCAGATAAGTCAAAGCTACAGTAACTCTTGATCGGGGCAGGTCCGCAAGCCAAAGGACATTCTTCCCCGAAGACAACTCGCGAAGACACATGCCAATGGGGGCTGCAAGGGCCCTAGAATCAGACTGTGCTCGGGTTAGTACAGTATGGTGTATCCTGGCAGTGCTTGTAAGTCAGTCTAGGGTCATTGATATACGACCACACATACATATAGCAACGCACTCTCTGTCCATCCAGCCAATTCGATGGAATCGCAGAACCATGGACGCCTCTTCCACTACGCCTTCTCGGCCTGTCACCCGCCTGGCCTGCAATCGATGCCACCAGCAGAAGCTTCGATGCCACCGCAGTCTTATTCCCGGCCAGCCTTGCGCACGCTGCGCGAATGCCCGGGTTCAATGCATTTTCGAGCCACCTCTACGGCCAGGGAGACCCAGCACTCGTCGCAAGTCGCATAGCAAGGGAATGTCGCCCTCCGAATGCGTTACAGCATCCTCTCTGACGCAGTCCAGGCACCAGGAACAGAGCCCGTCAGCGAACAATATGCCGAGGGAATATCTGTCGGAGGTGGATAGACTGTCCAATGTGGTCGCGTCTGAGTGTCCAATGGCCAGCAATAACCATGACCAAGGTATGTTATGCATAATCCTATAAGCCCCATCTAACCAAGGGACACCCAAGAATTCGGACCCAGTACGGACAGTCAGCTAGGTACTCACTGCAGCTGGGCCCACATAGCTTCACTCTCTCCATTTCCTGAGCTTGGCCGTGACGAGCCAGTCCTCTTTGTTGGTTGCAGATCTCCTTTGTATAGTGGCCAACTGTGTACGGCGCCCGACTGGATCGATCTTTCTAGCTCCAACTCCCACTCCTCATCTTTTTCGCATGAAGAATCCATCCAACGAGCTCTCGCCGATGAGATGACCAACCCCTTCGGAACCACAGCATCCTCATCGTTGCCACCGTCGTCGTCATCGTTTGTCTCGGCACCGTCGCTGCTGGGAGCAGTCAATGCCAATTTCTATCGGCTTTCAGAGCTGAGCATGACGCTGGAGGAGTACCATTGCCAGCTTCTGGCCATCAACGGAGCGCAATCAGACTCAGTGGTGGATCCGCCCCTAACCATCGATCAGATCCTAGCTGTCACCCAGTCACTGGCAGAGATCCTCTCCCCTGTCTCAAACCATACCGATCCTAATGATGAACGAGCCAAAATGGAGTTCCCTTTACATGCGGCCTATCGATCCCTGCCGGACAGTGCCACCGCTCTCCTGATCCTCTCCTGCTACCTTCGCGTCCTTCACCTCTTCAATGCGGTACTATCTAGCCCATCCGCAGTCGCAGTCACTCCAATTTCGGCCACGCGGAATGGGGATGGGAACGGGAATGGGATGCAACCGCTGCACTTCCAGATCGGGTGTTTCTCCACCCCCATGACGTCGTCAATGTCGCTTCTCGCGTGCGTGATTTCGCAGCTGCTGGGCAACCTCGAAGCCTCGCTCAAGTGCCTCGCTTCGAGCATGAATCCTTCGAAAGCGCCACAGACCCGATTTGATCAAGCCTGGCCTTCGGAGCCGGATGCTGGTCCAGTGTCCAGTGTGATGCTCATCGCGCGTGCCGCAATGCTGGAGATGAAATCACTTCAGGCCAATCTACACCAGCGACTACTGTTGCTGAGCTCTGCTTCTTATCCTTAATAGATATGGGCTGCCAAGGGTTGGTCCTCTGGTATTAAAAAGGACTGTTGTATCTAATATGTGTTGCCTCATTAATAAAAAATAAAAAAAGAGTTTACTAGGATCATCAGTGTAGGTTCTATTAGAACAAAGGAGGAGGCCAATTTAACTCCAAGGACTGCAGTCGCATCTTAGGAATATTCATGAAGTAAAGTCTGTGCCATGCCACACAGAAACTCTGGACAGATTAAAAAGCCTCACTTATCTGCATCTAACAGTCCCTTCACAAGGACATCCTCTTTAATTACTATTAATCTATGGCCACTAGCGCGTGTTTCTGACCGTGGATTGATTCCTTTCAACTGATCAAGGAAGGTAGGATTTAGGCACTCCGAATATGGCTGCAGCCCTTGATTTTGATTGAACTTTTTTGCTTTTACAAGCTGCAATAGCCATTTGCATCCGGTTTTCTTGAGAGAACGGCATTTTATGTAATAGTAGTAGTGAAAGAATGATGTGTTGAAGAATGATTGTAGAAGATGGCGCGAAAATGGACGGCTCGGCCGTAGATTGCGTTAATAATTCCACCCCGTCAAATCTAACTTGGGGCTAAAACCACCACTTTTTAACCACATTTCTCACATCAACCAACATCGAGTAGAGACAGACCACGCGCACGGATATGGCGGACACCAATAGCGCAATGGGAGCAGGCATGCCAGATGAACTCTCACTGGGAACTGCCATAAGGAACCACGACCTCGCCACCATTCACCACCTGCTTAACCGCAACGTCTCCCCGGATGAGCCTTACTTCGCTCCGCCGCTTATCGTGGCCATCAAACACCAGCACTTGGATATCATCCAACTACTCTATGAGCATCATGTCCAATGATTCATGGGCGAATTTAATGAAACAGAGATCCATGCTGCCGCGGGTGCCGGCAATCTCCCCATCCTGGAGTTCATCTGGAACAAGCTCAAGCCTAGACACCAACATGATGACTTTCTCTACCGGGCCGATCTCCATGGAATGACTCCTCTGCACTGTGCGGCCGCCAAAGGATCTCTGGATTGCGTACAGTTTCTGTTGCGCGAAGGCGCGGATGTTAACTCCTGCCCTGAACATGGTATGACACCACTGCATTATGCCGTGGAGAGCCCCAATGCACAGGAAATTATCAAGGTGCTTGTGGAGGCTGGGGCTCAGGTAGATGCCGTCGCCTGGAATGGAGAAAGTGCAATCTTTGGTGCGGTCGCTTCTGATGATAATGACGCTGTCGTGGCGCTGCTCCGTGCAGGGTCTAGTGTCAGACTGCGGAATCAGTACAACGAAACAATTCTCCACACTGCAGCGTACAGCAGTTCAATATCTCTCCTGCAGACATTGATTGACGCTGGAGCGGATATGATGGCGCGGAGCACCTCAAGCTCAATAATTCTGCACCGCGCGGCGGAGGCTGGGCGTTTAGAGACAGTTGCGTGGATCCTAGAGCATTCGCATCTTCCAGCAGATAATGCAAATAGCTACGGATGGACTCCGCTGCACTTTGCAGCATCAAAGAACAACCTCAGCATAGTTAAGTTTCTCGTTGAGGAATGCGGTGCAGATATCTTCGCCGTCACAGCAATCCCTAGAAATGCATCCGCGCTGCACTTGGCTACTTACTCCTTCAGCGATGATCGGTACGCCCCGATCAATGGAACGCGGTCAGTCACAGACAACACCGCCCTAATCAGTTACTTGCTTGCGTGTGGGGCGGATGTATCCGCGCGCGCGGACGATTCCCTCTTGAATGGGGGCTACAACTACGGAGAGAGCATGCTAGAAGAATTCCATGTCTATATGAGTGGCACTGAAATGGAAGATGATTGTGATATGGTCACTCCACTTGAATGTGCTGCCCATATTGGTAGTGTTCCCAAAGCGCGGGTTCTGCTTGCTGCGGGAGCGGACATCAATGCACACAGTCATATAGGGAAGGGCTGGACGGCGCTGCATTATGTGGCGGGTCTACAGGCAGGCTATCCTACTGGCCCAATAGCCCCGATAATACGGTTTCTAATCCAAAATGGAGCGGATGTGCGGATTATGGACAATAAGGGCCGCAGCGTGGTGCATTATTTGTGTTATTATCTCAGGGCGACAGAGCCTGTGCGCGAGTTTTTGGCAGAGATGGGAGTCTACAAGGAGGATTTGGAAGGCGAGTTAGACTTAAAGGTGGTTGCTGGGCTTATGAAGGGTTTGATATACCGAAATCGCTCATGAGCCTATATTAATGAGCGACATGCTGTATATTCTCTAGTTACCACTAGTTCGCACTCTTAACTTTTAGGCCTTTCTGGGTATTTCTCTGAATAGCAGTGATTTTGAACACATGTTTCAGACAGGTTACCTGGAACACCTGCCTAGGTCTAGTCACATAACATTTAGCAAGTAGTCGCCCAGTCATCACCCAGGCAGCAGGAACCTAACTACTCACAATGATTAGTCCGCACGCCGGCCCGTTCGTAGTCAGGTGGGTGACCACCAGTGAATCCCAGCTACGGTGCATTTTTTTTCTTTTGTGGCATTTTTGCTTAATGTCCCATTGGTTTAGGGATTCAGATAACAGTAAGGTTTGAGAATGCATTATAAGTACAGTTTTACTCTGATCCTACACTAGAACAGTGATTCTATACTCTGATGGAGATTGTAAAGTCTTAAAACTGTGCTGTGAAGATATCATAGGCATTTCTCAAGGACTTCCCACTCACATATGGGATTGGGCTTGATAATCTCTTCTGGAGCGTAGGCCTCACTATACAGTGGTCAAGCAAGCCTGTTACACGCCCTCACGACAAAGATTTAGGCTGTTTTATATGCGCCGCTTGGCCTATATAATCAAATTTTGTAACAGAAACCAGCACATACGACCATAGGGTGTGGAAAACAGGGCTTCCCGTCCGCTCAGCCGTACTTAAGCCACATGTAGAACGTGGTCAATCCCCAGAAAGCCCTTTTGCCTCTAAAGCAGCGGCGTGATGCTCTTAGTATGAGTGCTGGTGATATGGGTGAGGACCTAATCACCCCCTGGTGATGATGGCTCACCAGGTGGTGATGAGGGTTCCAGTGGGGGTGACGAAGGCCAACTCAGCGGCTGGCCGCAGAAGATAACAGTGGTTCAGCTGCTTTTAATGGGCTCTACGCCCTGCAAGCTGAAGAGATGAACTTGATTGTCACTGAATCCATACCAGTATCAATCCCCTCAGATTCCACCTCTTTGATAGCACGTGACATCATATGACCATGTCTTCCGAGGATGCCAAGTTACAAAAACTACTAGAGGAACACCAGAGACTGGCGGAGTCACGTGGATTTACTCTCGAATACCAAAATGAGCAAGAAAAGAAGGAGAATGTTATAAGTTTCCCAAGGCTAGCACCGGCGACTTCTGAAAAATATGATCAAGCAGCACTCCAGTGGGCTTTGTAAGTATCCATCCCAGTTAAGCCTAGCGAGGTAACTCCTAACTCTTTTCCTTAAGATGGAGACTTTCTCGCAAGGAGAGTGGAACAAAAAACTTCTCTAAGGATGAACCGGATCCCTCTCCGCAAATTCTAAAGCTTTTTGTGGAGTTTTACATCGCTACCCGAAAAAAGAATGTGCCCTCGCAGAAGACAGTATGTTGTTTTTTTACCAGCTTCACCTCGAGATGGGAGCGTGAGACGTCCAGGAGTCTCCCTATGGAAGTAAAGAAAGATGTTCTTAATGTATGTGATCTAAGCATACCTGTTGTCACAATTAATGCTAATATGGTTCTGCTTAGTTCATACGAAATGATCTAACAAGCAAGTATGCCCTTCCAACGGAACCAAGGGCACGTTTCCTGGTTACAGCCAAGGATATTGAATACCTGCTTCGCCGTTTATTTGGGGACGATACACACGACTATGTGCATGAACGGGCACGAGTCCAAGCTAGAAGTGCGCTTGCTCTCTTTGCAGGTTCAGGGTCCAGAGCTGGCGCAATTATAGAATCAAGTTCTTATCAAAATACAAATGAGTGCCTCTACTACAAGGTTGGTGCCTGTGACATCTGCTCCAAGGTTCGGTTCTCTAACTCTTATGCAAAGCATCTATCATTCCATATAAAATGGGGCAATCAGGCTGGGACAGTGAAGAGATGGGTGACAATCGATCCTCAATTCCTTAAAGGATGGCGCTACCGGGACGATGCAACTTTATAGGCTGTTTCCCTTCTTTCATTCCATACGCAACCCTGCTCTCAAGACTAGTGTTATTCAATCTAGGGCTTACCGTGCTACTAGGCCAAAAACTTGGTTCAGGGAGCATCCAATCCTTGTAATGAATTTCGTTTTTTGGGTCATCGTCCACAGCATTGCGGATCGTGCGTTTAAGGGCATATCCTCTGTTGAGGAGTTACTGGCCCAAAGACCTCCGGAGGGCAGAGAATCATGGACTCTGCAGTGGACTGAGACCGCTAGAGAGCTCCCATTTTTCCGAATGGTCACTCCAAACGGACCAAAGGCGGACAAAGGACTGACATTCTCCTCGTTGAGACACAATTTCACGAGTCTAGCGCAAAGAGATGGATTCGAGGACCAACTACGCGTCCACGGAATCAGAGCGGAGCTCGCAAACAGGGTAGATCGTAAGCTGACGCCGCCCACTACATACATTTATCTTCATTTATCTCCCCTTGCTTTCTGTTTTCCCCACCTTCGCATAGATGTCTGTCCGGTGCTGACCAATTATATAGCGAAAGCGACGGAAGCTACGCGTAGCCAAGCGCTTGACCATCAAGACCATAACACATTCCTCAAATATCAGGCTCAGCTCAAGGCATTGGATATGCAAGCTTTGATGTATGGTATGGAACCAGATTATGAGTGTCGAGACATGGAACAGAGCATGGCGCATCATCGTGATCCGAATGTCCCTCTTCGCCTGGACGCCGCGACACTATTCGAGTTCGAACACGACGAGGAAATCGTCGACCTAAACGCAAGGATCGCCGACCTTTCGCGAAGGATTGCAGGTCAGCCCAGAATTCATAAATCGCTGGCGGAAGAACGATCCAGGCTGTACACACAGAAAGCAAAGAAGCTTCGGGCAAAGCGATCCGAGTATATTTCACAGTGGTGGAAAGAATGCTACAAAGGATACATCTCCGGAAAGGGATTCACTGAACGTGATACGACAAACCTATTCGAGATCTACGCCAAATATATCCCGACTAGAACTCGCCTGCGCGAAAACCTGTTCAAAGAGGTGCCTATTGATAGTGAGGTGGGGAGACAATGCCTGCAGGACATGGTCAGTCTCTGTACATCAACTAAGAGAGTTGCGTACTATCCTGGGTTGACCCCTATTGATGGGCAATGTCCGATCTGCCAAAAACCCATAGAAAGGTTTGCACCCGCTTTGCTTTAAGAGCTATAGGGACTGACAAGTTAGTAGTGTTGCCCGGCAACTACAAGATCGTGCAAAGCATATCCTACAATGCCAGAGAAAGGCATTAAATGCTGCTCCTTATCAACAGTGCTATAAGAATGGCAAGAGAGCTCACCGCCGTGTCCAACGAACCTTTATCCAGTTCTGCTACTTATGCGCACAGCTGTTATATAGTGAAGAAGACTGGAATCAGCACTGTGGTACTCATTTAGCCAATCTAAAACCCCGGTGTGGGCTGCTGACGTTCCGCTACACACTAGTAGCTCCTGGTTTCTGCCCCTTCTGTCTAGGGGACGGCAACATGAGACCAGATGAGCGTTTCAAGCAATGGCTGAACAAGTCCACACTCTTGAATCATATTGATGGGCATCTCTCCCTTCTACCGTCGGGAAACCCAGTTACTTGCCCTCATCCCTGCTGCTCTGGGAAGGAGTATGGCAGCGTCCTGGATTTTCGGCGTCACCTTTTTGATGTGCACTCCATTGAGGAACCTCGCTCTAATTGCGTGACAAGGAAAAGGCATTGGAGTTTGGAACCTGCAGAGTCAAAGACTGTCCCGGAGGAGCAGACGGTCGATGAGGGGAAAAGAAGAAAAGTGGTCTAAGCCCCAATTTATAGTTTGAGAGTTCAGGTACTATATCTTGAATGAATCCATTTGCTATGGAGTCCTGCCCAGTCAGACGTTCATAGCCCGTCTGGGCGATCAAGCATTTGGCCACAGTCGTGGCAGCGTTTGCTAGCATCTGATGGTCTTTTCTGGCAACACTCCGTTCTTCGTTCGATTCGTGTTGAACGTCAACTGGGGTGGCCCACTCTGCAAATGTATTGGGGAACTCCATTGGTTGACTTCGGACCTCACTGGTAGATCAGTGGTTGTTGTCCAACGTAGACGAGATGCTGTTAACGCGTCTGCAGCATTCATGAGATATACTTTTGTCACCAGCAGAAGAAACCATCAGGCAGTGAACCCTCAAATTTCCATTTCATCTAAAATATGTATACGACTTCCTGGTTCTTTGCAAAATTAAAGGATGTATTGAACACATACAGATCCCATTGGACAAAAATAAAATGCTCGAATGGGATTTCCCTTGTTTTAGCAGGTGACAACGAAGCAAGCCATCCTAAGTGCGGGCCAATAGTGTTCCGTGGTTTACCGCCCAGCCCATGCCTCATGCACAGCACAAGGCTGAGCTTTAGTGGTTAATATTACGCTCCCAGCTCCCTCTTTAGCAATGTCAGATTTGACAGTCTTCTGCTTCTGCGCTCCAATTTCCTTGTGGACGTCCGTCTTTTAGCGTCAACGGCAGATTAGAGCAGAAATTCGTCTTGTCCTACCACATAACAACCATGCCTTGTCCTGCACGGGAGGAATTTCAGATCGGCTGGATCTGTGCCCTACCTATCGAGGCGGCCGCAGCCAAAGAAATGCTCGATGAGGACTTTGGAATACTTGAAGAACAAGATGCTGCAGATACAAATGCATATAGATTGGGTCGAATTGGAAAACACCATGTCGTGATCGCCTGCCTGCCTGGTGGACAATATGGAGCCTGCGCAGCTACAACAGTTGCAAATAACATGGTCCGTACGTTCTCAAAATCGTTACGGATTGGCCTGATGGTCGGTGTTGGAGGAGGCATCCCATCCACAGATCATGATATACGGCTTGGTGACATAGTGATTAGCTGCCCGACAGGCAGATGTGGAGGCGTGGTTCAATATGATATGGGCAAGGTCGCTGCGGACGGTGTATTCTGCCGAACTGGCTCTTTGAACAGTCCTCCCAGATCATTGTTAACAGCAGTTAACAATATGAGGGCTGCTGAGCTAACTGATGATCCCCGGTACCCGGAATATCTCCAAAGAGCGATCAGGAGAACACAACGGACCCAGGCACACTTTGGCCGACCCAGTTCACAAAGCGATCGATTGTTCAAAACCAAGCACGAGCATCCTGCTACTGCGGGGAATTGTGATATATGTCCAAGGGAATGGGAAGAGACTAGAAGTGAACGGGACACTCAGGATCTACTACTACACTACGGTATTATTGCTTCAGGAAATTCTGTTATCAAACACGGTTGCACAAGAGAACAGCTTTGTTTGGAACTTGGGGCACTATGTTTTGAGATGGAGGCAGCAGGCTTGATGTTAGACTTCCCTTGCATTATTATCCGCGGCATCTGTGATTACTCTGATTCACACAAGAACAAGCAGTGGCAAGGTTACGCTGCCATAGCAGCGGCAGCATATGCCAAGGAGTTGCTGGAATATATGCCCCGGGGTCAAGTCTTGCAAGAGCATCTTGCAGTAGATGTATGCAGTAAGTAATGCGGAGATTAGACTAATATTAAGAAGAGCATGTGGTTTACTAATCACTGTATAGGCTCCATCGAAAATTTAACTCAAGAAGTCAAAGGCACGAATCAACGACTGGATATAGCGTACGACCAACAGGAACGACACTATCACGAACAAACAGCTAGAGCGTTGACCGATCAACAACGAAAGTGTCATCAGGTATTCAAGATATCTAACTACGAGCAGCATAAAGACATCAATCCAGGTCATGTCCCAGGGACATGCCAATGGGTTTTGCAGAATCCACAATATCGCCGTTGGTCGAATAGTTACTGCAATGATCTTCTGTGGATATCAGCCGACCCTGGGTGTGGAAAATCCGTTCTGGCCAAATCACTTATCGACGATGACTTCAAAGCATTGAATCCAACAGTGTCAATCTGTTACTTTTTCTTCAAGGACAATGATGAGCAGAACAATCTTGCTACAGCATTATGTGCCATACTACACCAGCTCTTCAGCCAGCAGCCGAATCTCCTACGGCATGCATTGCCATCGTGGGAAAGGAATGGGAACAAGCTCCAACTAGAGGCCAGTGAACTTTGGCGGATCTTTATAGCAGCGACATCAGATCCCACAGCGGCCAATACTATTTGTGTGCTCGATGCGCTTGATGAATGTCACCCAAACGATCAAAAACAACTCATTCAGAGGCTCGAAGACTTTTACCATCGAACTGATGGATCGGCCGTTGAAACCTGGTTGAAGCTTTTGATAACCAGTCGCCCCTATGATGAGGTTGAGCACAGACTCAAACCTATCACAGATCTCTTCCCATATATACATCTCAAAGGGGAGGATGAAAACCATCAGATCCGCGAAGAGGTTAATCTGGTCGTAAGGACCAGAGTGAAGGAGCTGGCTGAAACTGCATTACTATCATCCGATGTACAGCAGCGGCTCGAGCACCAACTTCTTCAAATGGAACACCGCACGTATCTTTGGTTATATCTAGCCATTGACGATATCCGCACAACATTTAAAGACAGTCTCTGGCCAGCTGAGGAATCAATTCGATTGATCCCTCCCTCCGTGGATGCAGCATATGGAAAGATCCTTGCTCGAGTTCCGTCCAACCAAGTCAATACAGTAAGAAAGATCCTTCAAATTATTGTTGGTGCACGGCGCCCCTTGACAACACAAGAAATGGCTATGGCGTTAGGTATAGCTTTGTTCCCGAAGTCGCGGAGTGCAGCAAAAGCTGGAATTGACCCAGTGCGATTAGCCCGGAAGATACGACAACTGTGTGGCCTGTTTGTCTTTATCAACAATTCGAAAATATACCTTATCCACCAGACAGCCAGGGAGTTCCTTATCAGCAGGGATCTTGCCAGAAATCCCAATCCTATATATGCCTTCAACCTATCAGACGCTGAGAGTCTAATTGCTCAGGTCTGTGTTCGATACCTGTTGATGGAGGACTTAAAAGAAAATAAAAGACAAACAGAAATAGGTCATCGCAGTCTTCTGGAATACTCAGCAGTACATTGGCCAGATCATATACGAAACATATCCTTGGCACAGCAACACGAATTTGATGGTTTGTTACATCAATTATACAGCGGAGGCAGATGGATGCTTTGGTTCCCAATACTTTGGCGGGCTACGATGAGGAAAAGTCGAATGCCCAGCATGAATGTAATCCATGTGGCAGCTTTCAATGGGCATACACGGATCGTCCGGAAGTTGCTCATTGGCAATGAAAACGATATAAACAAGGCAGATAATACACTATCAACTGCGTTGATGTTGGCCTCACAGAATGGGCACACAGGGGTTACTGAACTGCTACTGGAACGTGGAGCTGATGCCAACGCCCAGAGTGAGGATAACAATGCATTGCGGGCTGCCTCATTCAAAGGACATAACAAGATTGTACGGATGCTATTGCAACACGGAGCTGACGCCAATGTTAAGGGTGGATGGTATGGAAATGCATTGCATGCTGCATCATCCCGAGGATATGACAAGATTGTACAGATGCTACTGGAATGTGGAGCTGATGTCAATGTCCAGTGTGGAGAGTATGGCAATGCATTGCAGGCTGCCTCATCCGAAGGATATGACAAGATTGTGCAGATGCTATTGGAACACGGCACTGACATTAATGCCCAGGGTGGAAAGTATGGCAATGCATTGCAGGCTGCTTCATCAGGAGGATATGACAAGATTGTGCAGATGCTACTGGAACGTGGAGCTGAAGTTAATGCCCAGGGCGGAGAGTATGGCAATGCATTGCAGGCTGCCTCTTCCAGAGGATGTGACAAGATTGTAC